CGTTTAAGGTGCCCTGGGAGGCAGATGATAACAGGCGGAGTAAAATGTAGCAGGCTCCTCGGCCGCAGCTCGTTTGCACTGTGCTTAAAATTCCTCTCTCTGCAAGTACCGGCAAGTCAGAAGCCGTGCGCATACAGAAAATGGGATTTTAGCTGAAGGCCTAAAATACTTGCTTAAAAGGTTGAAGAGAGCATCTGTACTGATTAAAAAAAAAAAGAGATCTGTTTGTGGGAGCCTGCTACGTACACAAAGTTGGGGGGGTTATTTAATCATTTTTATACATATTTTCTGGGTGAGGGAGTGAAAATACCTATTTGTTAATCATAGCGCTATCACAGAGCGAACAGGAAAGAAAACTAAATACTAGCAAATTCTTTAGGTGTGCCGTGCGTTTCAGTGCTTTGCAAACTGGAACGATCTGAGCCCAGGCTCAGCTGTGATAACACAGGCAGAACCTCAAGTAGTGTCAAATGACAAAAAAAAAATTGGCAATAATAAATAAGATGAATGCTGGAACAGAAATTCTCTGGAAATAGAAAAAGTCTTCAGAGTGTAAAATCAACCTTATATATTTATCTTGCAGCTCTAAGCTCTATGACTTTAATAGTTCACGAAAATGATTTAATTTAGAACGGGTACAATTTATTTAAAATGAGATTTGAGTACTTTTTTTCCCCAACATGTTTATGCCGCTTGTAAATTTAAAGTTCCATTATCTTTTCCACGACAAGGAAACCTGTTTTGAATGAACTGTTCTTCTTGCCCTGCAACTATTCTTTCATCTGAAAATGCTGTTAATGATATTTACTGAATAGAGAAATTCAGCTGCTGCAAAGCTGGGAGGAAGGGGATGCAATAAGCTACATAACAGTGCAGCTTCTCATATTCCTAGCCTTTTGGCAGTTTCTACTTGCCTTTTTAACCACAAGTTTGAGCTTATTAATGCTTGAGTTTAATCTCTTCTTGCTTCACTTGTCCAAACATACATTTCTGTAGCAGGATCATTTGTGCAGTCTCTGTATTTATTCATGCTACATAGTAGCAATGTAATTTATTCTGAAAACCTCCACTCAGAACTTTTTTTTTTTTTTTTTTTTTTTTTTAATAGATGCATCAGTGAGGGAGAACTGGTTTGCTGTCATGTTATTTACCCCATTGACGGTTACTTCCTTGAATTTGGGGGGAGGGCAAGAAGCAAACAACTGAAACCTTAAGTGGACACCAAACGTGTGAAATGTCAGTCCCAAAAATATTAAACAAAGGTAAAAGAAAGAACTGAGTCAGAAATTGCTTTGAGACCTAGTAAGATTTAATGAGTGTATTGACAAAAAAAATTTACTGCCTCTAGTTATTAGTGATTTCTTTGACTGGTCTTGTGCTAAACACTCTAAAAAAAGGGAAACAGAGGTACTATTAAAAATACATCACTCTAGAGACAACATTTTGACACTTCTATTGGTTTGGTTTTTTTTTTCAACAGTCAGCTGGACTAAACTAATAATCTGCTGTCATTTATCTTCCTCTCGAGGTGGATATGAATGAAAATGGAGGAAAAAACAGTAAAACTGTACAAGGTGCTTAAAGTTATGGCATAGGGTAAATGCAGTGTGCTGCATTTCAAAAGGAAATTATAGGACACCACATCCTAGGCACCTAAATTAAGAAATGATACTGTCTTAGTGCTTATAAGTAATCGAAAGTCATTGAAACCTCATTACTCATTAAAGACGTTAGTACTTACCTGCACTCAGAGCTGCTGTCAGTCTAAAGTTTCATCTGAGAAAGCCAGGTTGCTTCAGTAAATGCCCCCTCTTCTATATCGTTGTGGTGTTTGTCTGTCCTGTCCTAAAGTCATAAGCTCTAAGACCAGGGGATTCCCAGTTCTGGGGGTTATTTTGCAGCAGCAGCTTGGAGGATCATATCTATTTAATTACTATTAGTGAAAGACTATCAGACAGTAGAGAAGATTAGAGTAATATTCTGTTTGGTGTTTACTACTACTACAAATTACAGAGGAGCATATTCTTTGGCAAATGACATATCAAACATGTCAAGCATTTTTCTTCTCTTCTTTATAGAATGTGAGAATTAATACTGATCTTAAAACATTTCAAATGCATTAGTATTTGTCCTTTGGTGGGATCTACTGAACTTAGTCGGGACCAGCACTATAAACGCTTGTTAGCATAGACCTTGTTTGCAAAGGCAGGCCAGAACCCAAACCTGGAACAATGCAGTGCTTTGCTGTTAGCTCTTTTATTGCTTCTGTAAGCCTTTGTTAGCTTCTAGGCAGATGCAACTTCAGTTCCTGTAGTGCACCAGTTGTAGAAACAACAGACCAAAAGTTTGAGGAGGATCCTTTTGTGTAGGACATTGTATAGTGCGCAGATTAAAAATCTTGAGACAGCTGTTGTCTGTTGTGACCTCACTAAATCACAATGGAAAACTGCTTGCTTGGAGAGAGGAGGACTATTAACATCCAGTGCAAAACTCCTGAAGGTAAAAGCTATGAGGGAGGAAGGAAAGAATGTTTGACCTTGGGTTTGAAAGTGGATATCTAAATTGTCGCGCTGCTGCTGCTCAGAAGCCTCTTTCAGTTTCTTGTCATAGCTGCTTTACCCTTCCCTTCTCAAGTTCACTGAAATGAACAGTGTTGTCTCATGCTGGCATTGCTTTTTATCCTGGTATGTGTCATTAGAACAGCATAGACGTTTGCCTCAAAATAGCATATGGTCAGAGTTTCAAGGTTTATGTAAGAATCTAGGTGCTAGTCTTCTTTCCATAAACATGATACAGTCCTGTGTGGGCTCTTACACTTGGCCTACATGTTAAGAGGGACTTTAATGTAACAAGCTGCTGGGCAGAAGAGGACAGTTTTGTGGATCATCTTTTTACAGTAGTGAGTGGAAAGAAGGGTGATACCATGATAACAGTCTTCAGAACAGATTTCAACAATGAATTTGCCATTTGCAGAATGGCTTGCTAACCTAAAGGCTTTGGCTTTTAGTTTGTTGAAAGTGTGCTATGTCACTAAAAGGACTGTCACCTCTCTGCTTTCATACCTGCTGAATAAGCTAATAGATGTATTAAAGTGGTGTGTTTAGCCTCTGTAGCAATGTCCAGATTTCCTTTCTGTAGCAGTGAGAACACTCTTAAGAGACCCAAGCAAATGACGGAAAATAGGGTAGAACTGCTTATTAGTTCTGAAGAGAATGTAATTGAGTAAGTAATCTGAATTTGCATGAAGAATTTCATTAGTTTAGAGATTATATGATCACTGTTCCAATCTTCATTTTGACTGGTAGCTAATACTTGTTAAAATTTTGGCTTGCAGTTGAGCTGTTACTGGAAGAAGCTGCTTTTGGGTCTGCATAGGTAATTTCCACAGAAATTAGCTAAAACGTAAGTCAAAGTGAAAGGCATGGAGTAGTTGGTGAAAGGCAAGCAGGGACCACTTGCTTTGATTTGACTGTCAGCGGCTGGCCAGTCCCTTTCTGTTCACCGTGTCCGTGTTTTTTTTTTTTTTTTTTTTTTTGGACTGTTGCTTTTGACTGAAAGTTAAGACAACCTCTCCTCTAAAAATGTAACTGTGGCCTATGGTCCATGGCCTCAGCTTCTTGGAATTCTCTGGGCATTCCTATTTCAGTGATGTTCCCGATACTTTCCAGGACTTCTCTTTGGGATTGGTCTCTGTCTAACACAAGTCAAGTTTGAAGACTTAACCTCTTCGATACTCTACTCTCCATTTCTGGCTCCAAAGACTGCCTCTTCCCATGCAGCAGAATGATAAAGAATCTCCAGAATCAATGTAATTGCTGAATTCTGAGTTATCAGCTGTGAAAATAAAGTCTTGTGAATTGCCTTACATCTGCTTCAGAAAGGTATGAATGGCTTCAAAAACACAGAGCAGCTTACAGTTGTAGGACAGTATCATTGCATTAATTTGGGTGAAGCTTTTCTCCCATCTCCACCCACAGAGTCCAAAGTTCTGTGACTTTTTTACTTTGTGACAGTATCTTCTCTTATGCCCTAGAAGCGTGGTGGTGTTGATTTTTCAATCTAAAAGTATGAGCTTCTGGCAGTCTTTTGGCAACGACAAGTTAGTTTATGATTAGTGTACACATTGGTGTAACTGGGGTCTTTCCAGAGACTCCCAGATGAGAAATATGTAAAGAAATCATTGGCTAGTGAGGGTAAAACTCTTCATCAGCAGTGAGCATGATACAAATATTGAATAATAACCATGATAAATAATATCCCTGTACTTCCTATTCCTTTGGTTTCTAATTTCCTTTCTCAGAGGTTACAGCTATCATGTTCCTGTTTCATTTGAATGAATCCAACTGGATATGAGTCTCCCATAGACGTGACTACTGTTGCGATTTTTTTGTTTGTTTGTTTTTGTATCAGGAGTTTCAAGCTGTATTGAGATGCCACTTTGCTGTTTAGTTGCTGGTCTATTTTAATGATGTTTAATTCTGATGGGAGACATTTTGTGTGTCAATCTTAGCCCAGTTGTATTCATCACACACTTGTTAAGTGCCCTTCTTCTGTTTATGATGCACCTGTTGGAATGTCTGTTCTGTCTTAGAGGTCAGAGTAGCTTTGTAGAGATCCACGTCTTTGCCAGCAGTCAGGTTAGATACTCAATTTGGAAATTTTTTTCAGTGACTGAATATTTTTCCTCTCTTCTAAAGTATATTCCAAGTCAGCCTTTCATGTAGGGTCAGAAAGTGCATTTTGATTCCTATTAATGGGGTGTTCTGGAACAGTAATGATAGAAAAGACAAACAGGCACGGCTGTCCACAAAACTCAGTATTTTGTATAACTGAAAACGTTTAAATATGTCAGTTAACATATTATTTAGGGCTTACAGCTTGTTGGGGGAACTGAGGAAAGGGCAACAGAGATTAGCTTATTGCAGTGACTCTTAGCAAATTATGTCAATTGTTGTGCATAGGGACCACTGCAAGTGGAGGTGTGGAAAGTCTACTGAAAGTTCTTGCAGTGCCTTTAGCGTTTATACAGTTGTGGTGTATTCCCAGATAAATGCAGTAGTGTGGTTTTCACTTCAAAGGCTATAGAAAGCTCAAAAAACATAGAACTAGTCCCAGAAAGTATTTTCATTACATGGTGTACTTCCAGAAAATTCAAATTATTAAGAAAAAGCCACTGTGTTCTAACGGGAAAAGTATTAGCATGAACATGTGCTCAGTTATTGCAAATAGATTTAAGCTAATTTCTGAGAGCTACATCCTTAGCCTGCTCTATTGCATTTCCTTTGGTGTATATCTTAATCTCAAAAAACAAACTGTAGAACAAAATTTTGCTATGTTCTGATCCTAAATAGTTTAAAAGAGGAACTTGATTACAGTGTCTTGTCTTACAAAGTGCTTGTGCAGCTATTTGTGCTCCAGCTCATTACACTTCTTTGTTTCTCATTTTAAAATATTTTTAAACTCTCTTCCGTTTCTGGATGAGTTTTTAGATTTAATGTATTCTCCAGAAATTTAGAAAAATGCTTCCTCCTTTACTGCACCATGGTACTTTAATTACACTGGAGTATTGTCACAGCATGTTTTGCTGGAAAAGTGGATCCACCTTTAATATATATATATATCTTATGCCAGGTGCTAATGAATTTCTTAAAAAGTCCTGTAAATCCTTCTCTTACCAGTATGTCTAGACGATTTATAATGATGTAGCATGGGAGCTAAGTCTGCAGAGGGTACTTGAATCTCTTACCTGTACTTAAAGGAAGTTCCTCAGCTTGGTAAAAGGCAATTTTCTGTGGCTTGACTTACCTGATCTTGGGACTCTCTCTGTGTATTGTAGAAACTGGTTGCAGATCCCTGAGCAAACAGAGCTCTGAAAAATAAAACCAAAAAGATTGGTGAAGGTTTTGCTATTGCTTATCTAATAATCTGCATAACTTCTACTAAAAGTTTCTAAAAGAACTTGGAACAAATAAGATGAGGAAAACTTCAAGAAGCTGAAAATCTGAGATATCCAATTTAAAATTGAATTATAAAATGTACTGAATAGTTCTTCATGTGCAGCATGTTAAGGTACCAGCACTGGGCATATAATCATGCCCAGTTTGCTAGTACACAGTGCTGGTTTACTTTGGGTGAGCAGAACCCCTGTAATTTTAGGGTTCCTCATTTCAGCACATCTTTTATTTGTTTTGGATTTATTCTCTTCCATTGAGTCATCTTCTAGAGTGTTAAACTTCAGATGAATTTCAAGGATTCAGATTTTTACCTTGGCTACAGTAAAACCCAGGTTTTAATCTGAGTCTTCTTAAGACTTACCCACAGAGTCTTGTTTGCCCTCAGAGCCTTGCTGACTAAGCAACCTCATTCCCTACCTTAAGCCTAAGTCATTTGAGAGTAGCTGATGCTGCACCATTCTGAAGTGGTGTCAAGAGCCAGTCTAAATTCCACCTGTCTTTAGTTTCAGAATGGCTGCGGTTATTGCCTTTCCTGGGTGTGCTGGCCTTGCTTGGTTACCTTGCTGTTCGTCCGTTCCTCCCCAAGAAGAAACAGCAAAAGGATAGCTTGATTAACCTCAAGATCCAGAAGGAAAATCCAAAAGTAGTGAATGAAATAAACATTGAAGATCTGTGCCTCACTAAAGCTTACTGCAGGTGTTGGCGTTCTAAGACGGTAAGACACTTTGTGCTACTTTAGGATTAGAGATTGAGACTTGCGTGTTTTTATCAGTGCTTCGGTGGGGAATTGCTACATGCTGACCTGTTGCTTTTCTCTAGAGGTGGAACATGTTCCTGGTTTTTGAGAATGGCACAGTTCTTATTTTTCTCCACTGTAAACCTATCTGCATGCAGAAAGAAACTGTAGAAACTTAGAAGAAACAGAGTAGGGTTTTTCTAGAAACACTTACAGAGTCACCACCTGCGAGTAGATTAAAACCAAGCAAGCCTTGTTTAATATTTGGAAATACATTGAAACTGATTAGAAGATAACTACTCTATTTTGCAAAAACAATGCTTAGAAAGTTGTTCGTACTAGAATGAAGGTAAGGCTGGACCTGTGCTGGCGAGGGAGAGCATATCCCCATGTGGTCTAGAGCAGCCAGTAGATGACTAGTTTGGATAGTCCATATCCCCCGACTCAATGAGATGTATGTGGGCGTTTTTCATGTACCCTCAATTTCTTTTGAATGTTCTGACTGCACTCTGGTTTTGTCCTCTCTGGACTGAATGCTTTCCTATCTTAACAAAAAAATCTGCCCTGGACCTAAGAAACCCTCTGAACTATTCTCCCTTCAGAATAATGACTTCAGCAAAGTATTTCTGTTTCCCTTAAAATGGTACTTTCTGGTTGCAAATCTATTAAGAGCACTTTTACTAGTTCCATAATAAACCTTAAACCATTTGTGGCTGCGATGGCTGCTTTGCTTGCTGTTCTTTCATGGAACTCTGTGTCCAAGAGCAGCAATTTTAGGACCTCACAAACTTAGTTACCTGTTAGCAGTGGGATTTGTGGGTTTGTTGGTTTTTTGTTTTTTTTTTTTCTTAGTGACATGTCCTGTGTCTGATAGGAGACAGGGAGTTTGATGTTGAAACGGGACATAGTAGGAGGAACTAGCAATGTTATCAAAGTGCTCTTGGCATAGGAAGAAGTATAAAAATCACCATGCAATTGCTGTACAGAGTTATACTAATTCCTCATATATGTTTTCTTCCAGTTCCCTGTCTGTGATGGCTCCCACAACAAGCACAATGAATTAACAGGAGATAATGTAGGTCCACTAATACTTAAGAAGAAAGAAGTATAGCAGGCACTTAATCCACTAGATCATGACTGATAAGTCTTTTTATACTGTTGTAGTTGCAAGGGACAGCATTTTATTATGTGATGGCTATGATTTAGTCTAATGATTGCTGTAGATTTCTTTTTGGAATAAACTGTGTTTAGACAGTGCTGAATCTGCCACTGTTTTGATACTTCATTCTGAGAAGAATTATGTCTGCTTTGTAAAACTGTAAAGTAACTATCTCTGTAAATAAGTCGTTTATTTCAACAATAAAATGACTTCCTACGATTAACCCTTTTTTGTATGAACATGCAATTATAAAACAATCACTGTTTCCAAGTGACAGAAGTACACCTTTCTGTTGATTTTGTTCTGCTAAGAAGCCATGTTTTGTAATGCTTTTCAGGAACAAATTTAAGTGCACTTAAGTGGGGGAAAAAGAGGTAATAAAATTCATCCTTTGTGAATATACCTAAGTGTATCACTGAGGGCAGGCAGCATAGCGATGTTAAGTTATCTAGGTGACGGTCTGGCCTGTGCTGGGCCTAAGTGGGAAGTTTGTTAGTCTCATGCAAAGCAGCCCAGCTCAGACAAACCCCACACAGCTGGGCAGTCTCATACCATGTCCTAGGCGGAGTGCTGCAGTTCCGGACCAACTAAACTACTGAGCAGGTCAGCCACTAACATTATCCCCGGGCCCCTGTGTTGGTTGTTTATGAGCTCTTGTAAGAAAACACAAATTTGCTCCTTGCAAGTTCACTTGCACTGCAGCTGCTACTTTTTGTAGCAGGGACTTTCACGGGAGGAATTGGTTAAATGACAGAACCAAGAAAGCAGAGCTGAGCTGTATTCTTGGCTTGCTACCCATTCAGAATGATTATTTGGGCAAGTCAGAACTTTGCTGTGGTATGGCTTAATTTCAGATGCAGGTAAATAATTGCTATCTATTTAACTGTTTGAATTCTAATTAAATCTTCTGAAGTACTTTTTTCTTCAGTGAAAAACTGTATCCGTCAGTTTAAAAATATAAATTTTACCTGTGCTGCAATTTTAGACAATTGTACTAAGGCAGATTTCAACTGTTCCTTAATGGCATTTCATTTGACCCATTGTTAGGCAGGTGGGAAGCCCCAGAGCGGTCTGCCATTGCAGCTGATCACCACAGTGCTGAAACAGAAAGCAAGTCAGGAAGCAGTTCTCACATAATGGCTCTCAAAGCAGCAGTAGAACTCAGGTAGATCGTTCCTCCTGCATTTGTAACAGTTGTAGTTCTAGGTACCTAAACCTCTTGCCTTGCAGCAAAAGATGGCAGATTAGGATGTGATTGTATGTTAAATGCCTGCTTTTATAAAGCATGTAGTAGAACCATGGTACAGTCTTTAATGTTTAAATGCTTCATGGTGGTCTTACCTTGATGGATGAGCAAACCATAAACATTATAGTATGATATAACATTTATAATAGAGGAAAATCCATAATGCTACTAAGTGTCTTATACTCAGCCTTCACTTACAAATGTGGTATATTGAACACCAAGCCCCAATTCTTGGGTTTAGTGAAGAAATTACTGTGAAATGCAAAAGCTTGTCTTTAGATTTTTTTTTTTCCACCCAGGCTTTACAATCCACAGCCTAGTGTAGCAGGCTATTATTATATACAACTCTGCATGTGCTTCCAGCTTTTACCAGGATACTTTTGCATTTAAATACTTTTATTTCCTCCTAAGTTGGAGAATTAAACTACATACATAAATCATATTTTCACTTCTGTTGCTCTACTCAGACAAACCCTGTTAAAGTAATACAGCAAAATTGGTTGTTTCCTCCACAAAACTCCTCTAAAGAAGAACAGTGATGTAAGGTTTAACCTCTTGACTCCATCTCTAGCAAGGCTTGATTATGTAATTAGTTTTTTTTCTCCCTGCTCACTGTCAGATGAGATTGCTGCTAAACTATCTACAAATGTGGCTGTGCAACAAACAGGTGGGTTTGGTTTGGTGTTATTATGTCTATAAGGGAATGGAACACATTTGTAGTATGGGCCTGCAACAGCAGCACTCGGTTACAGTTCCTTTGCAGAAAGGACATTTGAGTAATTTCCACAAGATAATAAAATGAAGATCACAAGCAAGGTAAACAACCATTTCCGTGCATTTCAAAATCTGTCATGGTAATGCTGCCTCATGGCCACAGAATTTTCTACAGAAAATCTCAAATGACTTACTAATCGGTTCAAATTATCTGCCTAAAGTCTATGGGGATAGCTAGCCAAGAACTGAAGTGTCTGCAGAGCCCTGTATCTCACCAGCGATTTAGGGAGTTGAACCAATTACCTGCTAGCATGTGCTTGGTAGTATCTTGCCACTGGATGACTTTTCTAACCTAATTTGGAAGCTCCACACAAAGGAGCATGTTTACCCCTAATGCCAATAAAGACCAGGACTAAGGCAGTAGACCAGGTCTTCACAGTCTTGATGCAAAATCAAGCTGAACTTGGCCCATCGTAACATGCCTTTTCTCTCTGTGAGAACAGTAATGTTTGCCTTTCTTTTGATTATGAATTTGAGCAACAGTTATAATAGACTACAAATAAACTTGTAAAACAAGTATGTTTAGAGAAAGATGTCTAACTTGTAGCAACTACTAGACAAAGTAAATGTAATTGAGATGCAGCTGTCAAAATTTGATCTCTTACATTCTGTTTATTTAAAAAGCAAAATGAAAAAACTGTATCATTCTCTGTTTTGTGGCAGTATTACGCTGTGAGTGTTTCAGTTAATTTTAGACTTCAATCTAAATTCCCTAAAATGATCAGTTTGGCTGAAAAAGGGGGAGAAAGGAGTGATTATAATTACATTATCACTGCATTCCCTGGCTTGTGCAACTCCCTGCTTCCAGATGGCCAATTTCGGTCTTTTCCCATATGCTGCCTGCTGTAACTCTGCCTGGTGCCTGCTGCCAGGAATGCGCTGTGCTGTCAGACCCTTCTGCTGCAGAGGTTCTTCCGAACCTTCTGGAACTGCACACACATACTGTGCTCAGTACTCTTCCACATTATTTATGTGATTATGTCTGCATGACAGCAGGACTCCTCTGGTTATAGTTTACTGCACATTGTGCTCTAATTTTATTTCCTGTACATAATAGACTTGCATGGCATGAAGATTTTATTGGCTTGAATTTATGCATTATTCATGAATGATTTCATGGCATTTGGTTAAAAGGGAGGTGGTTTTAAATGTCATGACTTCATGCGCACAAACTGATAAAAAGGTGAAATCATACCTCTCAAAGTTAACTGCTATTTAAAATCAGCTGAAATTATCACAATACTTATTTAAAAAAAACCAGTCTCATAGGCTCTTAGCCCCGATAGAACATTTCTTTTCATGACAACATGCATGTGTTTTGTTCCTTTCTGGAAGGCAAGGAGAAGAGCATTATAAAGCATTAATACTTCTCATTTTAGACCTGCAGCTCCATGTAATAGCTTCAATTTGATTCTTTTTGAAGATTTAATAAAAGCTTGGAGGAAGGAGTCTTGTGAGAAACATCCACATATGGTGGGCAGGAAAGGAAAACTGATTCAATTTCTTTTAGATTAGAGAGCAAGATGACACTTTTCATTGGTATGGCTATTCAAGCACTCAGAATGGTGGGAATGACCTAATGAATAAATTGAGAGTGCACTGAGGTTAAGGGAACATGATAAATCCAATTTATGAGACACTGTTACGATGGTGAGGAAGTATAAGAGGCTATCATGAACAGGGGCTGTTTGTCAGAGGTTTGCTTGCATACTTAAGGTTGTGTTCAAATTCCCAGGGCTATAATCCTTACACATCACACTTCTGTTATTGAACAGAATCCAAATTTGTCATAGTGATCCCTCCCTGCAGGAAGATTCTACTTTTTTAAAAACATTATGGAAAAAAAATTAACTATATAAAGCTGCTACTCCCGTAAGTTTTACTCAAGTAGAATTATTTTATAGACAGTCACTGATGAACTGAACACCATATTCCCTCATCTTATCAATAAGGTTTACAGTCAATTTCCAAACACAATAAGCTCCTATTAAAACTACCCCTATTAAAGTAACAGAGTGCTTCTGTTAGCCATGCAAAGAAGGCAGAACAGGCGCAGAAGTCAATGGCTGACACAATAACCACCAAGCACAGCACCTTAACCATTCATCAGTGTGCAGTTTGAAAGCATCTTCCGCTCTGGTGAAGACAAACATGAACTGAACTGAAGATTGTACATTCCCCATGAAGGCTGAGAAAACAGCAGTGTGTAGAGCAAGAAAAACGTCAGTGTACTTGACACTGTTCGGGAAAACTTACCAAAGAATTTCCTGGTATTTTTGTCACTGTGCTGGGAATTGCAGACTATGAACCTTAAATATTTCTCAGGAAGCTTTCTTCTTGGCTTGGAGAGGAAGGCATGTACAAAGGCGCACATAACTGAGCTGTAATTAGTCGGTATACAGAGGCATACATGAACACTCTGCAAATAATACATGTTTCACATGGTTTTCTTTTAAAAGTGTGTTTGTATTCTTACTAATGCCAAAAATATCTAGACACCAAATATATTCTATAGAGTATCCTGTCAAACGAGTTCAGTGAAACGTAGTGTAGAAATCTGCAAGGAGGCATTGTCCACCTTGATTATAGGCACAATCTAACATCCTTACTAAAACATAATGAAATAAAACTTCCAGTTTCTGAAGGATGCTGTACGGACTCCATGCCTCAGAATGCAGCTGGGAGTGACCTACTCGGAGCTAGTGACTTGTATAAAACATAGCAGAGTAAAGATTTGTTGGTATCTGTAAACGTTAATACCTATTAACTGATACCAAAGCTAAAGGCAAGAGCAGGATTTTGATCAAAAGAGGAGGTTTACTTCTGGCTTTAGGACAGTCAAAGAGAAGAGAAAAGAAAGTCTGGGAATGGGAAAATCAAATGTGAACTGTGTTGCAACTGACTGTGCAGGAGGCATCTATATTAAATAAAATGAAGAAAACCACATTTGAGCTTTTTGCTCCCCCTGGTGAAATGTTTTGGCAAGATATTCAACACGAGCATTGCCAGTCATTACCATGATCCACAGACACACACAACTGCTGTTTCTGGAAGACTCACAGGACCCGTGGGTACGCGTTGAGGGTGTTAGTGCTGTGTTCTGAACACTGCTTCCTTGTGACACCTGCCTTTTCACACAGCAGTCTTTCTGAAGGTAGGTGAGGTGAGGCTCCCTTGGCTTTGTACCGTCCTGTCAGCAGTGCATTTTTAAGGCTGTTCTTTTAAAGTCTATTAGTTTTCTGCATCTATCAGAGGCAAAAAATGCCCTGCCAAACCTGAGAGGCCTCCACTCTCCACAGTCAATCCAGTCAGCCACCTCTTGGAAAAATGAGCTCTAACTGGCTACATTTTTAGCAAATACTTGTTTTTCTTTGCTGCAGTTATCCAAATGCAGATGTGAGAAGGACCTGATCGTGGCATTTTCTCCACCAGATGAGTATTAACTTAGGACAAGGCAAAGAAGATCCCATCTTACCCATGAACCTTGATTTGAGAAGAGGTCTGCTGCTATTGCAGACTTTCCCAAAAGGAGCTGAGGAAGAAAGGGACGACTCACTGCCACCTTGGCTTTGCCCTGTCAGCAAACCCCACCTGAGCTCTCCCCTCTGTCCTACGATGGCCAGCTGCCTCAGTGGCTGAAGAGCTGGCTTTCCCTCCCTTGACATCATGTTGTGTGAAGGCTGAGGTACACAGGAGAAGAAGCAGCCATCCTAATCCCTTACAACCCTTTCCCAGTCCTTATAGCCTCTCCACAACCCTCACCCCATTTTCAACCTCAGTCCTTTTTCCTACCAGCACCAGCAACTGTATTACTGCTGTCCCTGATGGACCCAGCTGTCTCTTTCAGCACATAAACACCACTTCCTGTTTCTTGCTACAACCAAAGTTGACAGTCCCTTGAAGGCACAAAGGAGTGCATGAGCTGTGAGGAAGAACAGCAATAGGAAAAGGCAAGTTTTGGAGCCCAAATGAGGAAGGAGAGGGAATCGCCAACCTGTGGCAGGACTTGTTCACTGTGTGTCAGCAGTCTCTAATTCAGAAGTTGCATTCTTTGAGCTATTGAACTCGTCATCTCACAGCCCAGTTTCAACCATCAAAGTTACTCACATTAGTCTCCTTTTTCTTCTGTTTATATTCCACCTCATGACTCCACTCCATGCCTGAACAATTCTGATCTCTCCCTGGCCCCACACCCACACGTTTCAAGTAACTGTTGACTGCTAACTTCTCAGTGACTCACTGCCTGGCCAGCCTATTCACTGTATGTTCAGCTATTTAATCTCTTAAGGCACCATCAACACATAAAAATATTTTATAAAACTCCACCAGGGCTGCTTTTAAAACAGCAGATATAACGGATGCTTGTTTTGGTTTCCTCCAGAAAGATTACAGACACGCTGTGTTTACTTAACAGGAGTGTAAGAGCTGAAGGACCGTATTCCTGTAGTTGTCTGTCTTACGAAGGTTCACAGGCCTCTGCTTCTTCTCCAACCTCAGCACCCTCCTCATCTTCCTTGCTATTCGTCTGAGCCTTCTGCAAAAGTCTGGGCCCTGCCAAGCCAATAACCAGGGCTCCAATTGGAGCAGTGATCAAGATAGCCAAGAAAGCTACTGTCAGTACATCCATCCCATACTTTTCCAGTTGCTCATCCTGGTGACTTCTTGCTGTATCCAGGGCAAGGGAACCTATTGCAGCCTGCAGGAAAGAAAACATTGCTGAGATGGATCAAGTAACCTTTAGCACTGAAAGAGGGAAAAAAAGGGACTAATCATCAGTCAACATTGAACATAAATTTGACATTTTTAGTACATTCAATCCATTCATTTCTAGGCACTACATAGAAAAGTAAATGTTGTATTACACCTATGAGAACAATTTCACTTGGCTACACTTCAAATTTCCTAAGCTCGTGAATTTGTCTGGGTGGTTCCCTCCCGTGAAGAACATTGCTTAGCTGACATTTTACCCACTTTTTTGGAGAATGTGTGATTAATGAAATGGGCCAGTATACTGCATATTGCAGCTGTTAAAATGCCACATCTTGAGAACGTGACCTGAAAGCAGGCAACTAGCAGCAGCTTCTGAAACTTTAGTTCACAAATCTTGCAATAATCCTTGCCTGTTCTGATTATTAACTTTTGTTTGCACATAATCATGCCATTGAGGTGAAGTCTTGACTTAATGATCACTGAATAAAAGGAGCTGAAATGACCACAAACTCAAAACCCATTCTGAGCCTCTGGTGTGACTGTCCCTGCAGACACTTCATGTGGTATAGGAGGGAAACACTTTCACCTTTGTTTTGAGAGTTCTCAGAATCTGTGGGTAAAGGCATAATAACCTGCAATAGCTGAGAAATAGTTAAACTTCCTATGATATATGTACAATTCACTGTCATTGTTAAGAGTATAACCCAGGATTCAAGCAACGCACCTTCACATAGAACGCTCTCAAGCTTTTCAAGCAGACTCAGGGCAGTTAAGAATATGAACTGTCTGTATACTACACTCTGCTGCTATTGAGCCTGAACCTCTCCCTGTTTACTGCTGTGCTAGTTACAAGGAGCTTTGCTAAAGACAATAGATTTAGCCTGGAATGAAAATGATGTTGGACTGTTTACCTGGACAGTGGCTTTGGGAATCCATGCCAATGAGACAAATACTTTCTCCTTGAAATTAAACCCAGCAAAACACACCATCAGGAACGTTGCTATGATTCGCACGACAAGTGCAATGCCTAATGTAGCAATGCAGAGCCCTGCAACAAAGACAAACACTTCTCAGTACTTTTGTGCACAGGTGCCTGAGGGGAATCAGCCTCCTAAAACTGTAGCTTTACAGTGGGCTTGGTTTCTTTGGGTTTTTGTGGTGTGGTTTGGGGTTTTTTTGAGTCAGCTATAGTCTGCTTTGCTTTGGATTTCTTTATAGAGATTCTCTGGAAGCTAGTAATGAAAGGTGGATAATTAGTGAATGATCTTACCAACAGTTTCAGGCCTAAGAGATGTAACAGATACTTCTGCTCCAATTAACCCAAAAAGAAAAGGTTGAAAGATATTCCATGCAACTGCGACAATTTTTTCAACTTCTCTCTGCAATCAAAAAAAGATAATCTGTAAATTTACAAAAATATGGCCAAGTTGACACAACATTTAATTAATCAAAGGACAAACTGAAAATGTATCATAAAGATTGTCCAGAATTGCTCCTCCTTCTTTGACCTAAAGATTCAAAATCAGTCACGCACCTTTTGAAGGTGAGAATCTGTTTAGCTCTGCTAGTAAATAAATGCTTGCTATCTCAAGAAGAGAAATAAAAATCACTGATATTCAAATAGTAACCAAGCAGTTTGCAGACAAGAGGAGGAAAATAAAGTATAGTTGATTTTCGGTACTTAGGAAGACGTAATTTCAACGGTTTTGCCATGAAGTTTCTGAGCCTTTGGAAACTGCATGCTCAAACATGTTCTTCCATTTGTATCTGAGCAGAGTCAGACCCTCAGAAGTTTCACTCATGGCCTACCTCCACTCGCGTTGCACTCAATCAGAGGCCTGTCTCCCAATGAGCAGGAGCAAAGTTAGACTGAGCAAGTCTGAAATCCCATACTTGCAAAAAGTGTTGAACTTCCCAGTGCGATGTACTGTATAAGGGCAAAGCCATCTTTTCTCCTTGTGTTTACACCTAACAATTTTCCTAAAACAGCTGCTGCCAGGATAAACAGGAATCTTCCACTTATGTGAAGAGGTACACGTAGCATATCTAACAGGACTTCTTTTTTAATTGAGTTCTACAATAGCAAATGAACCTTCAGGATGGTGTGTGTTGAAAATGTAAAAGTGCAGTGCTCTGTCACTTAAAAATCCAGAGCCTAGACATGTCCTGGTCTTGGTGTTCTCTCTGGGACTGATCTGGCAACATCTCTTGCTCTTCAGTCAATGGAATGGTAGATGACTGCAACACAAAAACTTACATAATCTTAAAGAGAATGAGGGGAAAATATACAGACCTCTAAACATTTTTGTTTGCCTCATTTCTTCTGCTATCTCACCCTTTTCTTTTTTGGCAAAAAAAAAAAAAAAAATCCTCTTCCCAGACGTTAGCATTATTTCAGTCTGTTTACTGCCCATTTAACTGTTCCAGCAAGAGATACAGTGTTCCTTGTTCTCTGTGGACAGTATTTGCCAAGTGACTTCCACCAGGGAGGCAGTGGCCTTTGAGAAGCTCAGCACAAAAACCTTGATAATATATTGCATGTACGGTATGCAGACATCTCTGACTGTACCTGAATAAAAGAGAGCTAAGGCATTTGAAATCAACATCCTTAAGGCTAAGAAGCTTCATTCACTGATCAAAAGAATTTAAACTAAGCTTTTATAGACTGCATATACTTTTAAGGACCTTCCTTCTGAAATGGCTTAAAAGCTTTTCAATGGAGAGCTTTATCGGTTGTAATGTCCTTACGTTGTTAAGTCCCAAGATGAGTTTTTCTTCTTTTAAAATTGGACAACAGTGTAATACTTCAAATAGAAACCATGGTTTCTTTTCATTGTTTTAACAAACCTTGAGATCTTATTGAAGTCAGGGTCTAGATGGGGATAATAAAGTGGACTCTGCTATATCTGATCCCCTTTCCTTTCTCCTCTTCTCCCCTTCTCCTACTGCATGTCGCAAGGCTACAGCTGTGGAGAGAAAGATGCTCTCAAAACATTAAGTGTAAATGGTATCAAGCAAAAGAGGCAACGAGAGATGCCAAGGTACAGAAAAGCAGCAGGGCAGCAAAAGTAAGAGGAAGCAGGCTTAGTCGTTAAGAGAAAGTGACTAAAAAGCCGTCTTTTGTATGGTTTTTGTATGGCTTGATATCACCATTCATTGTGGGCACCCTGCTCTCTAATTTATTCAGAATACACTGGCTGGGATTTGGGAAAGATGAGAGAGGATGGTTAACTACTGTTTTCCATTTCACCCCCCCCAAAACCACAGGAAACAAAACCTTGGGGTATTCAGGTCACGTGCACAAATGTATTTTGGACACCAGTTTGTAAATCTTACCATAAAGTGGCTGTGTAAGGTCACAGACGCTCACAGAGATGGGCCATAAAGCTTTGGACTCCTAGTCAAGGCCCTTGACAACTAAATCTCCTTTACAGGGCTTAAGATGTCTAAGAAAAGCTTGTGAGCATTTCTCTGTCAGTATATAAGGCTCTGTATCGATATATACTCACATACATGGTAACTTTCTGTCATGGTAAATGTTAAAGACTTCCAAAATAAACACAAAGGTTTTTTTAATCCATACACCCCCTAAAGCTTCATAAATGCACCATTACCACTCGGGACAGAAATTCAAACTCCTGTCAAGCTGTACATTCAAAGGAGTTTTGATACGATATGCTTCTTTATGTAAACATTCACCTTTTCATCAGACCATCCCACACCTGCAACAAAAGCTAAGACTAATGTGCAGAGCCCTCCTGATCCAGGGAAGCCAAAGTGGATGCTGCCAAAAACAGCAAACATGGACAGCCCAAGTACAAAATATGACCTCTTCCATGCCAGAGATGCCTGCAGTCAAGGAAAGAGACAAACAAAAAAGCAAATTTCTTTTAGAAATGGAGGGAAAAGGTTACTTCTGTTAATTTTGAAAACAGCAATTTGAAAATAACAATTACCATTAGCCATTGTGAAAGCTTCAGCTCTGTGATAACAGGATTTTCTACCTGTACAGTAAAGTACTGGAACAGTTTATCCAAGGAGAGGTGAAATTCTTGCCACTAGATGTTTTCAAGGACAAGTCATACAAATGTTTGACAGGGATAGTCTAGTTTTATTTGATCTCACAGCAGACAGTTATATCTCTGCCATTGTTCCCCATTTCTATTTACGTCTGGCTCCTGTACCACACTTCTTATGTTATTTAATAAGAGGGAAATGTCATCTTGCTGAGGGCAATAGATGCTTTGCAAAATGACTTCAGTAGTCCAGAATGTATCTGTTTTCTTCTACAGTTTTCTGTTCACTTAATTGCCCCTTGACAGTAAATTCATCTACCACTTTATGTAAGTTTAATTTTTATTGAAAGTAACACATTCTAATTAGCATTAATATGCCCAATCACTTAAAGCCTACAAACTGTCACTTTACTTGTTTTTAATCTTAGGCCTACTGGAAATATCTTATAGAAGTAAATGTGTCACACATCAATCTAACTGATGATTATTTTACTGCTTGAAATAGGTATCAGACTCTTTCTCCTTTATGTGTGGACATTTCTACCACCTTCTGTGACAGCAGGATGGTGAGTTGGGTTCCAAACTCTGCATCAGGAAGGACCATGAGATCATACCTTGCTATTGTTGCTGTAAACAATTAATCACCTATAAAACATTCCCTCACTTGATAGGCTTTGCAACCTGGAAGCTGTTAGCACTGTACACAGCTTTCCTCAAAAGCGGCTTCACATGAAGCTTGGAAATCAGTAACTTCAGAATATCATCTCTTAGCAAAGAATATTTGTTTATAAAGAGGGGTTTTTTTACTGGGTTTTTACCTGATCATGGCTTGGGAAATATCGAACAAACATTCCCAGAATCCCCCCAGCTGCTATGCCAACAGCAACCTCCAGCACTCCACGGAGCACATTGTACAGAGTAGAACCTATTAGCAAAAGAAAAACAGGTTCAGTAAGCCACACACGGACCCTTCACACACAAACCACACTGTAGACCTGTAAGGGCAATTCCAGGACAGTGTCTGCTTTAAATTACCTGGAGGTAAAGGGGCTCAGGAGGAACCTCAACCCTGAAACAACTGGTGCAAGCTCATGCCCAGGAAGTGTGCCAGAGAAGCCAGAGAAAGAGCCACTGTGAGAACATTACCATGGAAATTGGAAAGCACTTATGTTGGGCATGCAGGGACCAGACTCAGCAGCTGAGGGAGCAGACAGGGAAAAATGTTCTTTGAAAGCTGATGTGACCCACAACTCAGAGCAGACAATGTTACATCAAGACTTTTGATCATGGGTAATTTCCCTCTCAATATTCAAATCCATACATGAACTTTATAAGGAGATGTCATTAAGTTACAAACCAGTCAGTCATAACAGAGCACACATTCCTCAAAATGTCACTGTTTGTTCTGGATTTCACCACGTACAGATTAATCAACATACCGGAAGAGAAAGCCATCCCAAGGCAAGTGTTGAAGCCTGTAATAGCCAGAATGTCATCGATACTGCCAGCTGCCATTAGCAAAGTTGGGACACCTTTCTCCACCCCATATCCCCCAGCTTGTAAAATCAGCATTGAGGGAACCACCACAGCAGGGGAGACCGCACCTAGAACAAAACTGAAAACACACAGGTTCAGCCTCTCTTCAAAAGAAAGCACTGAACTAAAAAACTTCAAAATGTTCTGACCCCAATTCTTTTAAAGTATAAATAAACAGACCTTTACATAAGGTATTTTCCTCACCTTTCCCTGCTAAGTATAAGCAGGGATGCTTCTATGCAGATTTGCAATCAGCTTTTACTTCCTGTCCAACTCAGTAGTATCAGAAGTAAAGGGCTCCACAGACTAAGACTTGAGTCTACACTGCAGGCCAGTTAAACTCCCTGATATATGCCTTGACTGTCCAATTTAGGAACTTGGTCAAGGCATGCTTATGACTCAGTAGCCCAGTTCCTTCTCGTAAAAATCAGCGTGTGGCAGAGGAGGAGAAGTTCATCCATCTTGCTCCAGCATATGGGTCATACCCATATACCAATACCCCCATTTAGATAGAACTAGATGGGAAAGGTTTCCTCTGCAAGGATATTACTCCAGAATATAACATGCCATATCCTTATTCTTGACTCATGACAGGAAGACTGTTGTGCATCTCTCTACGGCAAAATTCTGAATTCCAACATGAAGATTCTCCAAATTGTGGTATCATTTTCTGTCCCTAAAAGCCCCCTGTGTTGTGGTTAAAGACTCGGGGATTGCACCATCCTTGGTTTTTCTTCTACTGCCCAGATCACAAACACAGAAGAACAATGATGCAAGTACTTCTCCACAGCCTGGAAATGTGACCTTTAATTTAGCCACAGAGCCAGACATGAATGGTAAGCAAACAACCACAGGGGCTAAGCACAACTTCCTAACCAGCATTAAATTGAGGTCTCTGCTTGGCGCAGAGAAATAAGCGCACTTGGATCATATCACTGTAGCATGAAAACAGGCACCTTTGTCATATAGGTGAAAAGAGAGTATGTTACCCCAATATAAATCCCCACTGCCATGGCAAATGCATGAACAAGTAGGCAAGAACAGCAGCTGTGCATGTTTCTGAGATGCATGGTCCGAAAGAAAGCCGTAAACAGACTGCTTTGAGTTTCTTAAGAGCCTGCAATATAAAAGTACATTCAGACATTAGTATCAGTACCTTGGCTTTAGGGAGAGGAGATACATTTGTGATCTGATGTGGTTTATTAAAAGAATCCCCTCTGAGCTGCAGTACAGGATATGACAGCTTTACATGGGCTAAGCCAGAGATAGACTCAAGCATAACTGGATTTGGATATAAAATCTTGCCTTCATTAATTTACGGAACATCACGTTTCATCGTGTGCAGAGAAAGACTTTTTTTGTTCACAGGAGCGTTATAGGCTTTATTGTGATATGAAGCATTGTTTCTGTAGTGCAGCAGGACCCATCTTTGCAATTAATATATTTGCATTAAAACATAATTGATTCCAAAAAAAAGAAAAGAAAAAAAGTAAAAGACATGCAGGTTTGGATTTTTTGGCTGGTTAGGTTTTTTTTTATTGGTGTCAACACAAGCAACATTCTTTTTCAAGGACTGGGGATCCCTTCTGTTACTTGTTTTAGTTTGTCAGGGAGCTGACAGGAAGTGTAAACCTTTCCTGACAGACCACGATGGAGCATGAGTCCTCAAGATGTTCTGCTCACAAAATTCAGGAAATTTCTTTAAGGCGAGGGGAAAAATAGTCATAAAATCAGTTTTCTTCAGGTATTTTTTGGATTGCTTGCCTACTCTACAAATCTAACTGCCAATATTAACATATGACTATACAACAGAAACTATGCTTTCTGCAACACTCTTAATTTGCAGATCCTCTAAGACGGAACAGTTCAATATTTTTAACAGAACCAATTGTTCGATTTTTCTTGAGGGCTGCTGTATACTTTGCCTCCCACAAATGGCTGGCACCATACCTTTGGATCCAGGCCAAGTCCTGCTCGGGTCAAGATAATTGAAAGAGCAATGTTCCTCAGTGCTGCAGACCAGCGGAGGTTTATCTGGACGATGTCACTAATGAATGGGGTATTTCGGATTAGGAAACCAGCAAGTAGCATTCCTTAAATGAAAGCAAATAAGCTCCTGTCAAATGATTTGCTTTTATTACACTAAAAGCTTGCACGGAATTCTTAAAAATAGACACCATGCTATGTATTTATGAGAGACAAAGAAACAATTCATATTCTGAATTATTAGCCATATTGTAATGATAGGGACTGAGGCATGGAAAGAGACATGCTTAAAGCAATGAAAGTGGCCTAAAAACACAACAGGTCACCAGTGAATAAATTTTCAGGATACTGACACATAGTTTTAGTGTGAGTCAACAGAATTCAGCTTTGTTCACCAGGTGCAGGTCATACTTACCAGAAGCAAAGACACCTCTACATCCTTAAAGGTATTTTTCCTGTTAGCTTGTTTTAACGTGAAAAGAGGAAGATTGTCTAATATCACGTATTTATCTCGGAAGTTGGAAATTGTTAAAAATCCTCTTAGGTGTAAGAAATGCGGGAATCACAGGAACCATCATGCTAAGTTCATTGGGAAATATAATCTGAAACAGCTAATCACGGACTTTTCAAATGCTCTGGCAATATGACTTTTGTAAAGAGCGGAAAAAAAAGGGGAAAATTAGGAACTTGCTCTTAACCTCTATTTGAGCTACTTGCAAGATCCAACCTTTTGCAAATATTAGCAAAACTGTCTAATCAGAGACTTTCTGCAAAGCTATTGGAACTGTAGTTCTGGAAGGGTACAGAAAAGTACAGGAAAGGGTAAGTCTACAGATCTGCAGATTCACTGTAGGTCCTGATGATTCAAAGATACATTTTTGTGGCATAATTTTATATTAGCCACATTAAGAAACAGGAAACCAAAAAAAGACAAAAAGTAAACAAACGCTGTGTTTAGGTTGGTCCCAACTTAGTGTGAGCCTTGGCTGTGGACTTGATTTGCCCTGGAATGTACTAAACTTTTGGTCATTGTTCTTCCCACCACCTCCCACAAAAAAAACAGTGGCATAATTAATCTGCAGTACCTCATGACAATTATATCAGGCTAGCATAATGATCACATGCTCTTTTGCAATGTTTGCTTGAGGTCCAAGTCACCAGAGCTACTCCAGTCTAGAAATCTACTTAAAGCAAAAAACTACACCTCAAGGGATATCTTCACTGTTCTGCTCCATGTTGCCTGCTGCAGAACCCTCTCTGCAGTGTATACCTAAAATATACTATGTGACTTTTCCTGTAGTAATTTCACTCCTTTTTCCTTCAGACAGAGGCTCACTATAAGTTGCTTAAGTGCTCAGCCTCAACTGCACTTAGCACAAATGAATTAAAGGCACGTAAGAGTACAAGATTTGTAATTTTAGTGCAAAACAATATTCAAAGTTATTGTCTTTCCCTTCTTCTGACTCATAGATTTCTTCAATTTTCCTCAAAGACGGGGGATCTGAACAATGAACTCTGCCCTAAGCAACTCTACAGACACGTGCTGTCATGCTTAAGTTTCTGTTGTTTGGTATTACCTGTCTGACAAGCAGTGTCATGCTCAACTCACAACTTTTAGATACTGATGTAATTAAAAAAAGCAGAATCCATATGGTCAGAAACGTCTTTTTTTTTTTTTTTTTTTTTTTTTTTTTTTTTTTTTTGTTAAGGGGGATGTTTACTTAGAAAGGGCAGACTCCCCATGTGTTACATTCTGTGTTCATATTATTGCAGGTATGCATGCTATATGCAAAACTTCCCTCCCTCTCATTTGAATTTTTTCTCGCTGATGAAACTAAGCAGTGCAAGAATGCGCATGCTGCCTGGACAGAGCTGCACATGAAGCTATCCAACCCTTCTGTAGGTAGTGCTACTGTGTGAGGCACAACACCAGCTATGCAGGTTACAAAATCACATCCGTGCCTTACAGGCAGATATTTATAGCCCACTCTGCCATGAAGTTTTACTGCCTGTCAACGGCTTTACTTATTTAGGCACTAAGCATAGTAAGGGGGTAGTGTATGGCTGGTAAGGGAACCTGGAGGTTCATTTTTCAGCTTTGTTGACATCACAATATTGCACTGATCTAACCAAAACTTCCTGTAGGAAAGATGCCTGGAAAAAGGTTCTGATAATGTCAAAAATTAACGTCACTTTCATCTCCCATTTCTACTCTGTATCTTTATGTAAAATAACATTGCTTTTCATAACAACATCTTATTTTATGATTGATTCAAAATAACTCTCTTCAGAAGAATTATTCCTCGTGGTGAATTTATTTTCTCAGGTTTCCGTTATCTTGAGATAAAGGAAGGAGAAGAAAGAAATTGCTTTGGATTACCAGTAGTAGGGAATTCCTGTAGTGTTTTCTTCGGAAAACATTTTCATTGTGCGAAATACATGTGAAACAGCTTAGCAATAATTTCCTTATGAATTAATTATTCTACTGTACAGGTTAAGACTCCTGTTTAGTGACATTAAACCCAAGTTTTAAGTAACTGTGAGAGAGGGGACTGAAGTACAATAACCTTTGAATCTGTAGGCATACAGTCCTCTGGCCCCCAAAGAGGAGAGCCTCAGTAACATACAGGCTATTTCACTTGAGCCAAATTGGGGAATTTTGCACCTTCTCGGAGAGGACCAGATAAAAGGCTCTTGGAAAAGCTGTAGTTTTTGAGCATGACACAGTTTGTTTGCTCCCAATCCATACATATCTAGCATGCAGATATTACTTGACAGTTTAAACACCACAAATACGCAGGAAGAAAAGAAGGAAAAAGATGTCTTACCGAGAAGAGCAGGGAGAGGGGGTAGTGTTCGTATTTTAATGAGTCCAAAAATTTTACCTCCAATGACAGCAAAAAAATAAAGAAACAGAATTCCAAACAGGTTTCCACCTGGGAGACACTCAGTCCCAGTGATGGACCAAACCACAGCCCAAACCAGGACCACAATTGCAACTGGAACAAAAAAAGATATATTCATGTTTAATCATCTCTCAGGGACAACTTTCTTTGCTATTAGATCACATTTGGTTTTCTACTAAGGAAAAAGGTACCGTGCCTTTCAGAAATAAAATCACTTACCTTAAAAATTAGTTTAATCACAAAAACGTGTCTAATTTTTTATGCTCCCTAACTGGTGTTCTGATTTTACAGATGCTAAGATGCTTTAAAAAATGGTAACAGGAACATCATTAGGGTCCAAAAAGCACTGCTCGAGCCTTGAGCCACTGTGGAAAGCACTTAACAGGCCCCAAACTTAAAGCAGACTTTCACTGCCTTATCTTGCATTTGCTTATCATCCTTCAGCTACTTCAGAACTGCAGTAAGAACCTGCTGCTGTACAGCCTGGCATAGTTTTGAGCTAATGACTGCAGCTCCAGTCTAATTTTTAAAAGAATTTAAGTATCATTTTTTTGGCTGGATGTGCTTGTGCAATACATTTCTATCCCTGGGGAAAAAATGTGAAGGAGGTCATGTCTTTGGATAGCCTGAAGTAGTACAGATACCTCCCTTGATACAGCAATCAAAAAGTGATAATACACAGGAAAAAAAAAAAAGTCCTGAAAAATATTATGAGAACATTAAGTGAAAATATTGTAAAATATGTGAAAATATTGTGCTCCTTCCAGGTTCCCAAATCTGTCCCTACAATTATTTAGAAAAACAGGCATGCATAGATATAAAAGCAGAAGTCTGAAGGAGAGGAAAAATTATGTTAAAAAATCCCCATTCTCATAATCATAAGAAAATGTATTGCATTTTCAAATTGGATTATTCTTAATCTTATTTGAGGTTGATGGGTGGGAAAGGGAAGACCAGTAGGTTTCCAAACACAAAAGCATAAGTATCCCAAGTGAGAGAGAATGGAGGCTGTGGAAGCAGTCAAAGCCACAGCAAGTACCTTTTGTTAGGAAAACTCTAAAATAACTGGTTAGCCAGGCATTCTTGTCTGTGAGCCTTCAGTGCAGGGCAAATCTTAAACAGAACGGGTCACTTTGCCTTGTAGTTAGGATTCTTGGCTTTGCAATCCTGGGGTATTAAGAAAAAGTCTCGTATTTGTTGCCTTAATTCAACAAAAAGCCATCCAGTGTGGCAAAAAATGCCACTGCGTTTATAATAATCTTAATGCTCTCGCACCAAAACACACTATCAAGATAAGAATTAGGAGGTCTTTCTTCTGATGAAAACAATTTGCAATGCAAAAACATGCCTACCGTGTTAAACACAGAAGAGAGGATGGAGGAACAAAAACTATACTTTCAAATCTTTGTTTCACCTATTTATTTTTTTTCCTGCTAAAACATTGAAAAAAAAGCATGATGTGTAAAACATAATTATTTCCCTCCATTATTTTCATGGACAATAGATAGATGTCACATCCAGAGAAACAAGTACTTCATTTGTCATTTCTCAGTTTAATTAAACTCTGTCTTTCTTACATACCATTTGTCACTGTTCGGGCCAGTAAACCCTGAGGAGGACACATAAATATTCGCCTCCAAGTTCTTGCCGGCACTGAAGACCCCGCGGTTGGTTCTGGAGGTTGCTGAGCAGAATGATTCAAGAGAGCAGTTTCTTCTGTTTGTATATTCCCATCAGTACCTTTGGCATCTACTGTTGGTCCTTCCTGAATGAGAACAATGAGACTCTCAGAAGTAGAACTGCATACATTCAAAATAGCACATTAACTACACAATTGCTGTAGGAATGGTCCAGCTTTGTAGTATATTTGGGATTTTTGGTCATGTGTTTGTGCATGGCACAAAGAATTGCGTATGAGAGACTGCAGGACATTTGCCTTCTTATCTGCAGCTGACAGGACTCCTGTCCCAATACAAATAGCACCTGATCAGCAACAACATCAGCATCTTGGATGAAGAAACAATATTACAGGCCAGGTACAGCTTGTTTTGTATATGAGCTAAATATTGATCAATATTTTTTTACAGTTCTATAGGGTTCTGCTTCCTGACTGGATTCCACAATACAGTTAACGATTAGCATCATTCCAGTGAAACAGTATCTTTAATATGACTCCTAAATAACTTCTATTGCAAAGCCTTGAACCACAGTAATAACCTACTCATGATTAGACAAAGATGAAAGAAACAGAACAGCTGGCCATTACTCACATGATCCATTGCTGGAAGGCTCAAGCTGGTAAGTCAAGGTAGAGATGGAGAAATACTACCCTGGGAGTTATTTCCTTGAAGAATGGTTCCTTGAAGCTGCTCTCTTATATGGATTCATCTACTTATCCATATTCATAGCCAAAGCACTTTTTGACCATTTTTGGATATGTGTCATTTTAGGGTCCTTATTTTTGAGAAGTTAATCATCTACCTTCCCTTATGATTATTCACCTTCATGTCAGCTCATTGTCATAGCACGGACATGGAATTCTTGCCTATACTGTGGTTTGGCCCTCCTCCAGTAATAGTTCCACATTTCCCATTATTTTTCTGTCTCATCTCTCTCTCCTTTTATATATATATAGATATATAAATATATCTGCTTTACTCAGAGTCACAGCTGGAACACAAATCTTGTGAGCTTTCAGCACGGAGTTTCTTGGTTAGCTACCCTGTGATTCTGTGATCACCAGCTACCCATGTGTATAAAGATACGCCATATGGTACTTATCTTTACAGTCAATATTATATGATTACACTAAAGTGCCTTTTATATTAGGAATTTAATTCTTGCATTTACTGCAAGTCTTTTTTAAAGCCATGGAAGTCAACACTAGAACCACTCAGATGGAAGTTTAAAACTGTGGGGGGTTTATTTTTGTTAAATAAAAAAAGGGAAGAAGCGCATGAACAGCTTTCAGCAAGTTGGTGGATAGGCACAATTTGAAAGCAAAGAAGCAATCTTAAGTCCATTTCACTCTCTTCCAAAGCTGATTGTAAAACTTACGCGGATGCCTTTTCCACTTCAAGCTGAAATTGCAACCACTGATTTCCAGCAATCCAACACACCACAGGCTTTTAAAAACTGAACATCTGTTAATTGTAAGAAATTCCCACTGAGAAGATTTCTCTTTGTATTCCCTTCAGATGCAGGGATTTTCACAGATGTAGGAAGAAAATGGAAAGGAAAAAGAGGTTTCTTCTGATTAAGACTGTACTTGAGATCCTAATTAATTACCTCGCTTTTCTCATGCATGGGAATCATGCCATTTCTCTCACATACTGATGGCTCAGAATCTTCATTGTCATTTACAATATCCTCTTTTACCATCATTGCAAACCTAAAGAAAGCAACAAAGGTAGAAAAGTTAGAGAGAAGCAAATAATATTATTTTTCTGATACAAGACTTCTCAGTGATGTTGTTTCCTTCCCCATAGATCAGGTGAAAAAACTCTCACAGGCCAATTTGGAAGTAAATTTTTGCCTTTGTGTGCTGTATAAAAGGCAGAAACTAAGAGAAGAACGGTATTAAGCTTACAAAGTCAAGCACTGAAAAAAAATTAAATTAAAACTTCTAAGTTTTAGTGATCTGTGCTAACCTGTTATTTCCTCCTTAAAAGTATGGCTGTTATATATATATATATATGTATCTATTTGTGCCTCCTATCAGCACAAGATAAAGGTTATTTGCTGTCAACACCACTTAACCAGGATCATTAATTCTGAAAGTGTCACAGGGCCTGTGTGCATGGCAGTGCAGGCGAGCATTTCATAAAGCTGAGAACAACACCTATAGTTTCTAAAGCATACACACAAGGAGACACATTTTCCTGAACTTAAGCCTGACCAGATCCAGCTTGATTTTCAGGAGAATTTTCAAGAACATAGTTCTGTTAGACATCACTATTCACAAATGCATTGACTGAATACCTAAGAAACAGAAGATGCCTGTTTGAATGAAGATCAGGATTATGCACAACTTGCACTCTATATTCAGGTGAATTATATTTATCATATTCATGATAAAACATGGCTCTTTTTTACTGCTTATGTCCCATGGAGATATTTCTCAGAGTGGGAAATAAGGTCCAAGTTGCTTGTGGATAACTCTTGTTGTATTTACTCAGTCTAACTGGTCCACTTCCTGTCCCATAGATGGTAACAAGAGATATGGAAGTGTACTGTTGTGTATATCAGAAAATTTTTGTGCAAATATTTACTGTAGTTTCACAAGCCTGAGCCAGCAAGAGTCGCACGCACATATCCGAAGACAAGGCTTGCCCATATTCTCTGTTACAGCAGAGGTGTGCATATATGCTCCACCAAATACATTTCAGTGGTAACAGCATTTCCCTGAAGTCTTTTACCTTGCTCTGGCCATATAAAACACCACTCAAGCTGAACCAGAACTTTTGAGCCAAGAAATTCCTTCCTTGCTAAATTGCTGGAAGAAACTCAGAGAGCTGATTCAAGCCTTCAGTTTATAATGAGATGTGTTTGATACTTGGGAATGATCGGTGCAACAAACAAAGACAGGGGCTATTGTAACACCCGAGGGGTTTTGTTTAATCTGTTCTGATATGAAACTGTCTTGTGACATGGCCAAGGCATAGAGGAAGAATACAGAGCCAGAGACAAACACTTTCAATCTGTTCTATGGCAACAGTTTTGCTTTCTTTCCTTTTTAAATGTAAAGCGTTCATTTACTCCCATTCCAGTACTTTTCTATCTTTAATTACTACTTGTGGAACCAAATAGTTGTGGTCTCAAAGTTTTTTTTAATGAAAGAAGTGGTATCTTGGGGTTTTTTCCACAGGTTTGTTCTTCCTTTCATTGGGGCTGGGAATCCACAAACACCAGTCTACTAACTAGAATAGAAAGTATCAGCAGCCTACCTGTGCCTCCCTCCTTCCCTTCACTAGCCCCTTCCCCAGGGTATACGTACTTAATTTTGTAATTCTGAAAGGGGTGCATGTCAGAAGGGACAGAAAGATGTTGCTCTCCCTCCAGCTTTGCATGGACAACATCCCAGTTCTTGGGGTGATGGAGTTGTTAACACGAAATATGCTAATGCTTCTGAGAAACCCAGGTCCTCCTCACAACAGCTTCAGCTCCTGAGTGCCTTGTTCACAGTAGCATAGAGGAAAGAAAAGGCTGAGTAAGCAAGGAGAAGTACTGCTTCAAGGTGTGAAGGAGGAGTCTGACAGTGGATGTGCTGTCCTTGTCTGTTTTGTGACAGGTCTTCGTGCTGGCAGGTTCCTGATAATGCTACTTTCAAGCAACAGCTGGTTGGATTAATGAGACTAAAATGAGTAAGTAGTTAGTTTACTCACACTAGTGTGGGGGTATTTTGGGGTTTTGGTTGGTTGGGTGGGTTTGGGAGGGTTTTTGATGGGGGTTTTTTTTGTTTGGTTGGGGTTTTTTTCTTTTTTTTTTTTTGTGAGTTTGCTCTGTTTTTTAAACTTCCTCCCCTATACAAACAAAATAAATGATTGAGAAATCATGGAACAAAATTCATACCACAGGGTTAAGGCCCGTACCACGGAAAACAGCCAGTAACAGACTTCAGTACGTCCCTGCCAGACATACTTCCCCTATTTTGAAGCGAGAAAGGTTTTTATTATATGTTTTTATCAGATCCTCTCATTTTACTTGATTTTAAATGGTAGGGAGGAAGAAAGAGAGGGAGAGCTGAAGAGAAGAGGTGGCGTGACGGGCAGCATGTGCATGCCTGTATTATTAGCTCTACCGCCCTGGCAACTGTCAACGTCCTGCTTTGCTCACACAGAGTACAGAAAGGAATACAAATAAAATACCACAACTGCTGCCAGAGCAAGTAACATTCAGAATAAAAACCAACAACAACAAAAAGACAACCCAAACCACTCATCCTCTACAAAAAGACGTAAGTAAACCCTGATGTAACCTCCTTCCGCGCCTCCCCCAGCAGCTTCCTGCCGGCAAAGCCAGCTAACGGTCCCCCATGTTACCTCTCCTGCCGCCTCCAGCTGCGGGGGACAGAGGTACAAGGAGAATGAAGGACAGAACACTTACCTGGGTAACGGCAGGGATCAGAGAGAAGGAACCTCGCAGGGCTAGTCCCTCAGCAGGGCGATGTGGAGGTAGAAACCCACGCCCTGCAAGAAGCAACAGCTCTGAGCCAGCTCTGGCTCCTCCTCCCCTGCTGTCGCTGCCAGTACCACACTCCCGCCTCTGAAGCCACAGCTTCACTAGACCAGCAGCAAAAACCTCAGTCTGGAACTTGAGAAGACCCAAAGGGCTTCCCAGATACCTTCCTTTCCCTTGGCACCAGGAATAGGTCACTGCTGGGCAGGCAGCAGGAGGACAGGGGCAAGGGGTGGCTATATCCGAGCTGGCAAACAGGTCAGGTTGTTTTGAGCCATGGACATGCCCTGAGCCCAGGGCACCGAGGAGGACAAGACATGAGAAGGAAGCAGAGTTGTGTGCCTCTTGCATAGCCAGCCCTCTGCTTCCCAGGTTATTTCATGGTAACTTGTACACATCAAAACGGTTGCTGGCTATGCTGCCTTTCCGTGGTGGCAGGAAGGGACAGGGGAAGCTACGCACAATCCTCTTACTCAGCCCAGAGCACTGCAGTTGGGGCTTAGGTGCGAAGAAAGGGTACAGATCTCTAGCTGATTCTGCTCTGGATGCGTGCAGAAGAATTGCATTGGGGCAGGCAGGAGAATAAAAAAAAAAAAAAAAAAAAAATTTGTTCATTTCATTTGTGGTGTTTTCACTGAGACATTTCTACTTCTTAAAGAAGAATCAAGCACATCCACCTCATCTGTAAGTGCACATCAAGGAATGAGACAGACCCTCCTCTCTCAACCTCATTTTGCAAGCTACACTGGGTGCACGTGAAAGCAGATCCAGTTGCCACATGTTGCTACTTTGCATTACAGAGAATTAAGCTGACTACAAATCCGAGGGAAAAAAGCACTGTTTTTTGATCAGATTAAATTCTCCAGAAGGACTAAGAAACAGAATTACCCTGTTCCATAAAAGCAGACCAGGGAATTAAGAGGTCACAAAAGCATTAAGAAACATTCTCCTTTAATAATTCCATCAGACTTGCTGGAAAAGCCCTAGGCATTATAACACATTGCAGAGCTGTAGCTGTTAACACATCCATGAAAAGCATTGCTAATAAGGCAAGAGACAGGAATCTCCTCTGTTTTTCTTGTTTGGTTGGTTTGGGTTTTTTTGGTCTCCCAGCTTCTCGGACTGGCACTGAAAAATATCTCTGTGCTTTTAGTGCATTGTAAAAAGCAGATGTTTTCTCCTTTTCTTGCAGGAGTGCTGTGACAGAAAACCATTTGAGTAGTATCTGTGTATTACAGTCACCAGTGAGCTTAGAGACATTAACTAATAAAGTTGAATATGCATGACGAATTTTCTCACACATTCTTAACTACATTTTCAGAATACACAGTGCAAGTTTCCCATGTTACTGCAGTGGGGAGATTCTCATTTCAAGGTAAGCCTTCTACACCTACTGCAGAGGAAGGACTTTGGCCTTCATATTAAACTCTGAAAGCATTGAAACAGTATCGTGCCAGCCTGAACTTTTAACATTTGAATTTACGTCAGTGAACATTGGTGGAGCTGTTTTGGATAAGTTTGGATTTCTGCCTCAACTTGATCCTGCTTGGCTGCCAGGGTCACTTTATTGAAATACTAGATACTCAAAACCCCATAAACAAACTACACAAGATCAAACGCTCCAACCATGATTAAAGGTGAAAGTTAACCCCATAGTGAGCCTGAGGAAGCCAACATCTGCAATACTTTCTCATTTTAAAATTGTAATACATAAATAAGAAGCCTGATTTTAACTAGACATGTTCCATTATCTTTGAATTAAAATAATTTCTATTAATGCTTCAGCTAATATTGACAAGCTTAAGAAATAATTTTAAGAACATGGCAGTCGTTACAGAAACACAAACAAAATATTGAACATTTTTTCCCCTGTGCTTTCTGATTACTGATCAATCACACTCAGTAGCATTTATTCTTTAATTCCTCCCCTCCATATATATGTATATAATATATATGAATATATATGAAATTGCATCCATCTTCACTCACAAACCAGATAAAGGGAGCTGTGTGCCATTTTTTTAAGGTAACCATATTTATAGGCAGTCAGCCCATGTCACTCATGTCAAATTTAATAGTATGTTAGCAAAACAAGTAGTTCTGGAATTGAGGTTATTCATCACCTTAGATCTCTGGGTCAGGTTCTATGGGGCTTTTTTTTCCCCCAGAGTATGAGACTTTACAATAATAGGTTTCCAATTCATAAATCAAAGCTACCATGTGCTATGACAATAAAGACATCAACACAAACTCACGTGGAAACAGTCCTTTTCAGAGAAACTTAGCCTTGTGGTTTAGCATGAACTGTATTGGTATTTGAGAATCAAGCAATAGAATACCAAAGTCTAGCATCTGGCATACAGATTTGGCAACATTTGTCCAATATTAGTACATCCCTTCGAAGATGAATATATTGGCTCTATCTGAAGTGGTAAAATCCACTTCTTTTGCTTGCGTGCCAGAAGTCAAGTGCATTCATGAAGATCCACCTGTGTATTTAAGAATACTTCTTTGACATATACCCCAGTCCATGCCTACCAGAGTCATGTCCTTGCATAACGCTTTCTGTATGTAGAAGAGAAAAGAAAAAAAAGTATAGTAATGATACTTCCAAGACCAGTTTAGGAGTGATCTATACCATTAATGAAACAGTTCTGCCCTCTACTTGTCACCTCTTTTGTACTAGTTAATGTACCCATTTTCTAACTGACTGTAACAGTACCTGTGATTTGGTGTGCTCGCTACATGTTACAAGCTTTAGTCTTAACAACCATCAGAGCAGGCTCCTCTCCACCATTTCTGCTTTATGAAGACAGAGTCTATAATCCTTATGTGCTTAAACACAAAACCCTCCCAAACTCTGCAGTGGCCAATCCTACTGCTTCTAACGGTAATCTGTTGACCTGCCTTTTGTGCTATGATCTACTGTTTTTCCAGATTTTAACAGCATAATTTGCCCAGGATCTGGAAAATGGACACTGCAGTTGCACAAACCAGCTGCACGCGTACACTGACTCTTTACTATATGTGCAGGAAGTTTCGTGTGCCCACACCCCCTGTATCTACAGTGTGTCTTACTGTCTTGCACCACCCACTTTGGATCTGTAAGCGTTGTTAGGCTTGGGACATAGTTTTTTTTCAACAATTTTGACTTTTTCCTACAGCTATTACAGTTCTAAAACATTTTGCTAATGGTAGTACAGAGCAGAAAGCTTGCTTTGTAATTTGCAAAGCAGAATGTGCTTTCAAGTACAATGTTGCAACTACTATGTTCTCTAATATAGAAACATCCATTAACAGTAACAAAAGGATTCAAATGTTCAAATCTTCAAATTTGCTGTTATTTCTGCTTTCTTCTGTTTAAACCACACTTAGTTCAGGATCCATTTAGCCGATTTAGTAGTAGTTGTTCCATTTTCTCTAGATAGTCTGTCAATGCTAGTAGGAAATCTAATGGTGAATGTTTAACTTCCAACTACTTTGCAGAATGAGAATAAAGATAGTACTTAGTGCTTTTCAACTCAGATTTGCTTAAAACACAACTCAGATTTTGTACCTTAAATATTCTTTGCCCTCTGAAATCTTAAATTGCTATTCTTTCATGTTTTTGGAGTTATCACGAAATGAAGCCACACGAAGTATGTTTTACTCCAGTCTTTCACTGTTTAGGGAAAAGTGAATCAGTAACATCAATCTATAAAGAGATCATATTGCAGTAGAAATGCACCAAATTTGTTTTGAAAGACATCATGTGAGCAATCTAAATCTCTGCAAGCTAGAAAGATGATCCTCACTTTTTGCCTTTCATAGTATGAATTTCCATTTGCAGGTATGGTCAGTCACAAGCTCCATCCTCCATCGATGATTAGTTCATTACCAGTCACGTAGGCAGACTGAAATTACATAAAAAGTAACAGTAACTTAACTAATTTTTTATGGCTATCAAGTACAGGGAAGCACTTTTTTCTTTAAATTCAAAAAAACTGCTTTCTATTTATATACACACTTTTGTTTTACAAAAATATCTGAATAAATAGACTAAAAATAAACTTAGAAGTGGAAGCCTTTCAGCTAACTCAGGGGAGCGTAGCAAAAGTATTATTAAGAGTCATTAAGATGAGAATGCATCCTGAGCATACAAATTCACATAAGCTAGACTTCGGATATCTCACCTGCGGGAATAATACCTCAGACTGTGATGTTATTAGCTCTGTACAGCTGAGCAGAATCTGACCAGGTCAGCTAAGTATTATGAAGGGGAACTAACTGAAAATTTAGATGGTGCAGAAAAGCAAGTGAAGCAACTGAGCTGTTGACACCTTCTCTCTATGTCACTACTAAGGCATACTGGAATATATTGGAAAACTGGAATTCTGTCTACACATGGTTGAAAACCCTGTGACCAGGCTGGGAAAAAAAAATAAAATCATTATTTGTTTAATGCTTCAGCTCAAAGACAACATAAGTCCTCCTAAAACAAATTCCCCCTACTGTGATGCAGCAAAGTAGCATGGGATTCTGTGACAGGAAGTTTTGTCATTCTATACTTACTTCATCAGAGGCCAAGTATACAAAGAGATGGGCCACTTCTTCAGCAGTGGCCATCCTACCAGTCTTCTGTCTGGCTAGAAAGTCTTTCAATGCCTAGGTAAGAGTATTTGGTATATTAAAAAAAAAAACCAAACAAACCAACAATTCTTCTAATCCAATTAGTCTGACATGTACAAAGCAATACTGGAAACAGGCCATAAGTCGTAATTTCCTTTTTCTTTTTTTAAGGGAGTTAAATATACTTATGCATATGATCAAACTAATAAATTGCTTTCTCACCTGTTCTGGGTTAGGCCGGGCTTGGATTCTTTCCTGTAAAGATGGTGTGTCCACAGTTCCTAAGCAAAATTTTAAATTCCCTGTTAAAAATTAACTGCAACAACAATGATGACAAAAAATGCAGTTCATTGTTTCTATTTGTATGTCTTAACACTTATGTGTAACTCCATAATATGATCAGGAGCGTGCTGGTTTTGGCTGGAATAGAGTGAATTTTCTCCACAGTATGGGTATGGGGCTGTGTTTTGGATTTGTGCTGGAAACAGTGCTGCTGAGCAGGGCTTGCACAGAGTCGAGGCCTTTTCTGCTGCTCACCCCACCCCACCAGCGAGTGGGCTGGGGGGGCACAAGAAGCTGGGAGGGGGCACAGATGGGACAGCTGACCCTGACTGACCAAGGGGATATCCCACACTGTATGACGTCATGCTTAACATGTAAAGCTGGGGGAAGAAGGAAGAAAGGGCAGGGGGACATTCGGAGTGATGGCGTTTGTCTTCCCAAGTAACCATTACATGTGATAGACCCCTATTTCCTGGAGATGGCTGAGCACCTGCCTGCCAGCGGGAAGCAGGGACTGAATTCCTTGTTTTGCTTTGCTTGCGTGTGCGGCTTTTGCTTTCCCTATTAAACTGTCTTTATCTCAACCCATGATTTTTTCCACTTTTACCCTCCCAGTTCTCTCCCCCCCCCGCCCCATCCCACTGGTAGGGAGCAAGTGGCTGTGTGGGGCTTAGTTGCCGGCTGGGGTTAAACCATGACAAGGAGAAAGACTGCAAAACTATCAACACAGCATAGGACTCTATTTCAATGAAAGGCAAGACTTTTGAGAATCAGATTCAATACTTTTGAGATGGTTAGACAATAGCTAGTCTGTTAGCTAGCCCTTGTCCACTTCTAACTTCCAGACTATGACTTTGAAAATATATATGCATGTACACAGTACATGGATGTTTAATGTGCATGTGCTGGTTTAAAAGACTGAAAATACAGCTTTACAGCTTTTCTATTTTACATCTCAGAAATGTTGTGGATCTTTTTGATTACTGGTAACTTTAGTCTCCACTTGCAAGTCTATTCTTTGTTAGTAATTTCAAACTAAATCAGTCCTTCTAGCACCTGCACCTAGTTTACAAAATGACATAAGAATACTTACCAGGACATATGCAGTTGCATCTGATGCCTTGTTCAATGAAATCAGCAGCCACAGACTTTGTTAGACCAATAACTGCTGCCTTTGAAGTACTATATACACATCTGTTCACAACTCCTAACAGCAGGTCAGTGTGAAGGCAGCGTACAAACACATTAAAAAAAAAAAAAAAAAAAAAAAAAAAAAGAGAGACTCAAGTTTATTGAATATGCACCTGCTTCTGGACTCCAGCATTTCCTGTAGTCCTGTAGGGCAGGCTAACTAGAATGCTGACTGCCAGAATTCTACTCAGGCATACATCAGAGCAAAGCACGCTATCTTTCAATAGGATAAGTTTGGGCAGTAGTCTAGAAAAGTCGAAGTAGCAAACAAAGATTTAGGAACAGCGGAGACCCATCTGTTAGCCACCATCAGGCTTCCTTGGGAAGCATAGCTGCAATGCTTAAATAACTGTCATTTCTTCATTGTTTCTCTGAAGAACATACAAGTAATTCCTTTTTAGTTAACACAAATGAGTAAAAAGGGTGCTACAAAACATTCAGGACACAGATTCAAAAGCTCAAATGCAAGGATCCTAGTGTTCCTGCAATTTCCCACCTGTGTCCTTGCATGTATGTCCGAGTTGATGCATTCACTTTTTTAATTGCATCTCTCCACAGGACTAGCAGTGTCCTCTAAATTCAAAGTTGTGCAATATTTATTTTGCATTCCCATAATTTTAAAGATTTATTATAAGGAACTTTCTAGCAAGCTACTGACCTTTAATGCTGGATGCCACAGAAGACATATTTATAATATTTCCAGATTTCTGTTTAAGCATCTGCAAAAGAATATTTATGTCATCCAAACGCAAACTATTTTGTCATCTGCAGGTTCAGCAAAATAGCCCATAACAAACTGCAGAGCAGCCTTACACGCAATTGATATGCAGGGTAACAAAACTTAATTGGTGTGAATGTCTACTTGGACTTTAGTAAAGCCTTTGACACCATTTCCCACAGCATTCTCTTGGAGAAACTGGCTGCTTATGACTTGGACAGGCATATGCTTTGGTGGGTAAAAAACTGGATGGATGGTCAGGCCCAAAGGGTGGTGGTGAATGGAGTTAAATCCATTTGGCAGCTGGTCACAAGTGGTGTTCCCCAGGGCTCAGTATCAGGGCCAGTTCTGTTTAATGTCTTTATCAATGATCTGGACAAGGGGATTGAGTGCACCCTCAGTAAGTTTTTAGATGACACCAAGCTGGGTGGGAGTGTTGATCTGCTGGCAGGTAGGAAGGGTCTACAGGGGGATCTGGACAGGCTGGATTGATGGGCTGAGGCCAACTCTATGAGATTCAACAAGGTCAAGTGCCAGGTCCTGCACTTGGGTTACAACAACCCCATACAATGCTACAGGCTTGGGGAAGAGTGGCTGGAAAGCTGCCCAGTGGAAAAGGACTTGGGGGTGTTGGTCAACAGCTGGCTGAATATGAGCCAGAAGTGTGCCCAGGTGGCCAAGAGGGCCAATAGCATCCTGGCTTGTATCAGAAATAGTGTGGCCAGCAGAAGTAGGGAAGCGATTGTCCTCTTGTACTGGGCACTGGTGAGGCTGCACCTCAAATCCTGTGTTCAGTTTCGGGCCCCTCACTACAAGAAGGACATTGAGGCGCTGGAGCACGTCCAGAGAAGGGCAACCAAACTGGTGAGGGGTCTGGAGCACAAGTCTGATGAGGAGTGGCTGAGGGAACTGGGGTTGTTCAGCCTAGAGAAAAGGAGGCTGAGGGGAAACCTTATCACCCTCTACAACTGCCTGTAAGGAGGATGTAGCGAGGTGGGTGTCGGTCTCTTCTTCCAAGTAACAAGCAGTAGGACAAGAGGAAACAGCCTCAAGTTGCACCAGGGGAGGTTTAGATTGGATATTAGGAAAAATTTCTTCCCTGAAAAGGTTGTCAAGCACTAGAATGGGCTGCCCAGGGAAGCGGTCAAGTCCCCATTCCTGGAGTTATTTAAAAGGCAGGTAGATGTGGTGCTTAGGGACACAGTTTCATAGTGGACTTGACAGTGCTAGGTTAACAGTTGGACTTGATGATCTTAAAGGTCTTTTCAAACCTAAACTTGACTTTTATCTCAAACCCTATGTTGTAACAGTGGCAACAACTTAGACCTCTCACACTTGAAACACAATCAAGGAGAGGTGAAAAATGATGGGCAACCAAAGCCTTACCTTAGGAAGGAATGTCTTGATCATTAGATACATGCTGCGAACATTGAGATTCATAGTGAAGTTCCAGTCTTGCTCCTCACACTCCAGAATGGTCCCATGATGAACAAACCTAGCATAAGGGCATGAAATGGATTTCTGTCTGTGGTTTACACTTCTATGGCTTTTAATGCATATTTTTTCATTACTATTTTGCAATACCTAACCCTTCCAACCCTGAAAAGGAGGGACAAGAGCTCTTCTGAAAAAAGCAAGCAACAGTGTATTTCTCCTGCTGAGTATCAGAGACAGAAGACAGATCTGATATTGGCAAAGGAAGGTTTGTTAACAGGGAAACTAAAAAAGTGCATTAGCAGACCATCATCTTCGCTCATTACTGTGCCAGGAGGGCCATCAGTGCAGGGCTCCCATAGAATGTGGAAAAGATAAATTCTAGAGCTGTTCTGTCTTGGCCTGGGTAATGCAGCTATGCACAAGTAGTTCAGTGTTGATGAACACACATGAAAATTTATACTAAAGATATAAAATGATTAAAACAAAAGAAATAAAATGCATTTAAGTAAAAGAAACTACTTCTGGAGGACAGGAAAAACTAGAAAAAGAAGTGGGATCAAATAGAAGCTGGTTACCCTGCAATGTTACAGAGAACATCAATCCTTTCAATCTCCTTGGCCAGATTTTCTATCTGCTCCTTTTTGGTGACATCCAGAACCCGTATTTGAATGCCTAGAAAAACATGGTATTAATTTCCATGTATTTGGTTAAGGATCAGCAGTTTATTTTTCTGAAGTGCTGAGGACTGCATCTATGATTCAAGCCAGAGGTTTTGCCAGGAACAGTCCCCTCTCAATGGTTCACCACCTCGTGGAGACTCACCAAGCAAGAGTTATGCTTAATGGTTAAATTAGTTAAATCAGAACTGCAATGGACAACATGGCATGCTATTTAAAATTTAAGAAGGGAATTAAAAAAAGATAACTGATTTGACTGTCATACAGCATCACACAAGCAGATGAGCTAGTGTCATTTACCTAGAGACATTTCCAATAAATTTGAATTGCACTGCGCTCTCAAACTGAAAAATTACAGAGCCTGTATCATCATAACAAGTTTTCATGCCTCCTATTACAGAATAATTACTTTAAACTCATTACATGTGTGACATATATTCACAAGCACATTACATGCCATCTATCCATGTGTAGTTGGAGGATATGATGAAGCAGCTTCTGTATATTTCAGCCTCTATCAGCTGTCACTGTCAGAGGTTATAGCACTGGCTGTGCCTGTGCCATACCTTCAAGAAAGCCACCGAATAAAGAAAAAAAAAATCAAAACAAAACCAAAACCGCCAACAAACCCACTTTGTATTTTATTCAGAGAAGTTATCTCTGAAAGGTTGAAAAACAAACACTGCAAAACAGGGTCAGGCTCAACTCTTCCAAACACTTTTCAATAGAATCAGCCCCTGTAACAGAAATGCTTTAGAGCCAACAACAGCCATGCCATCCCCTGGCCAGAAGTGAAGAGAGCAAGGTCAAAGAACTACTCTTCCAGATGAGCTGTAATACAATATGATATAATCTACGTGTTATTTTATCTCATTTTATTTAAGCAGCTTCCAGTAACCTAACACAAGTAGCTTCTCTCACCCATGCCAAGGCTGACTTCTTACTATGGAATAGGTGTACTTCATGACACACTTTGCCTGCACTCTCACTCCATACTGTGGGTAAAGACTGAGCTCTGTCCCTTTCTCAAATACATGAAATTTTCATCCAAAGGAAACCTGGATGAGTGGAAAAGGAGGAGTCAGGGTGTACTCCAGTAGTTCCCTTAGTGGGTACAGTCAGGCTCCCAAGGCACTAAGACTTGCCGCTGATCACCCTTTTGCCACAGCCTGGTCACAGCATATCCTGTATCTAAGATGAAGGGACATCTACAGAACACACCCGTGACCTGAACCATAGTTTTTTACAATTTATTCATGTGCAACTAGTGACACACAGTCTAATAAGTGTCTACAACTACCTGTTGGGAGACTGTAGAGAAGATGGAGCCAGATTTCTCAGAGGCCCACAGCAGAAGGGTGAAAGGCAACAGAAGGAAGTTGGAATGTGGGAAAGTCCGACTGAACATAAGATGTGTTTGGGTTTTGGTGGGGTTTTTGTTGTTTGGGGGCGGGGGGGGGATGATTTGGTTTTTTTAAATACTATTATTTTAAAACCATGAGGGCAGTTGCACTGGAACAGGGGCCCACAAAAGTTGCTGAGGAAACTCCATCATTGGAGATGTTCAGAACTTGACTCGACACAGCCCTGAGCAGCCTGCTCTAACCAGAGCCACTTTTGAGCAGTAGGCAGGACTAAATGGCCCTAGAGGTCTCATCCAAAGTACATGATTCTATGAAATACTGTAAAGTTGTCTGTAAAGCATCTGAGTGATGTCTAAATTACAGGAGAATTTGATTTGAAATGGATAAAACCTGTTTCTTTTGAAGCCTAACTGACAAGTCCATGAACAGGCTTTATATGCCTTAGTTAAATGATATGGACACTTTTGAAGATATTTGTGTCTAATGACGCAATTAGACTACAGGTTGGTGATTAACATCAGCACTGGAATTACCTTTCCTGGATAAAATTCAAAGGCCAAAATGTGCCAAGCCTTGATGAATTACAGCTTAACTAATCCTATGTCAAAAGGATGGAAATGGCTCTGAGAATATGGAAAATTACCTCTTTCCTTGTGAGCACACCAGCAGAGGGAAAAAAAAATGCCCAGTTCAAAGCATTAACGCTTCCCCGAACACCCTCAGAATGAACCTGGAAAGTCCTAAAGTTCCTAAAGAATGACAAAGGAATTGCTTTTGGTGAACTCCAGTCAGTAGAGACCAATGGTCGCTCCTTAAAGCTGTGCCAGAGAAAAGTGCTTTTGCGTATTTGACTGTCACCCTGTAATAGGAATTCATTAAATCCACTTTCTTTCATCAAAGTTGGAAGCATTTTCAGTTTTGAAATATATCCAAGTCTTATTTTTCAAGAATGAAAAAACCAATTTTTTTAATATAATGTCCTACACTTGTGTCACTTATGATTAAGAAACACAGCTATGCAAAACCTAAAAACACATAGAGTATGTTCCTGTGATATCAGTAGGAAAGCAACCTTCAGGCCTGAGTGTTTGTACAAACAGAATAGGCTTATCTAGTGTTGGTGGAATTAGTTTCTGAAGACATAGAAATTCTACTAGACAGCTATCTTTTTAACGCATTCCTTAGTAAGTATGGACCATAGAAATGCAAGACCCTAAATCTACTTTTTGTATAGCTGGATGTTAGTTCTTTTGATCAGAGAAAAGCATTCCATGCCTTTTAGAGTGCTATGTTTGACAATTAGCCTAGTGATCTCAAAAGGTAATTGGAATGGGTGCCATTCTGGGAAGCAGAAATTAACTGCTTCTGTGACACAAGAAACAAAGTTATTCCAGGTGCCTAGAATAATACTCTGATATGCTGGTGTTGCAGTATTTTACATGCTAAATCTCTGCCATTCCACACCACAGAATAAAGTAATGGAAAGTAAAGAATTAGTCTGGATATTTTCCATTTTTTCTGGCCTTTTGCAGTTTGCCCTTTCCTCAAATTATATTTCAGCCAGTCTACAACACCACTTGTGAAAGCTGAACTAATGCCTACTGTAGATCATTTACCTGGATATTTCTGCAGTTCTTGCAGTTTAGACTCATTAATGTCTGTAGCAATGACTTTGGCTCCTTCTTTAGCAAAAGCCTGAAGAAAATGAAGAGAAGTAGTTTATATTTAGATATTGCAGATCTTACAAAATCTGTTTTCTTCTCTTTTCCTTTTTGACTTGAAACAGAAGGTGGCTGAAGGCAGCTGATCTCTCACTTTTCGTTGTGGGCATGTCAGTAACAGACATCAATTACTACACATCCGGCAGGCAACTAAATAACTGTACATGATATAAGATGGATTTAAGACCTGTTCCTTAAAGTAGAATCTCATAAAGTATGAGAACAGTAACCACACTAAGACAACTGGTATTATTATTGCCCTTATTAGCTGGACGTGCACTAGCAAGCACATTACAAACATGTAGGGCTAGAATTGTCTGTATTTTTGGATTTAAATGAAGTTATGGAATTTGACAGGTAAAGGCATGAGTTGTAAAAAAGGAATGGTGGTATATAAACTTCACCAAAATCCTTTTCATCAAAATCATTGGAATAAAGCAGCATTAAAAGCATGACTTTTCTTTGATACTTAACCAGAGATATTCCTTCATTCTCAATGCTCCCCTCAAAACCTGCTTTGTCTCCATTGCGCTTATGGATAAATCAACAGCCATGCTAACAAGTAACCTCCCTGTCAAAAGTACTCTGACATCTCAGACTGTAACCCCTAATCTTCAAAATAAGTGCCTCACGTGCTGCTTAAGAGGATAGTGGCATTAAACATGCCAGCCTTCTGTGGCTTGTTGGGCTTTTACAAGGTGAAATAATCAGAAAAATTACCCTCTCTTCTGAGTGTTTTAATCTAAGTGCCAAGACCAGCAGTTTTCCGCATTCTTAACTGCATACATGAGAAACTAGTCTGGCAAAACCCCTACTTACAGGAGCTTTTCCTGGCTTGTTGATTACATTATGGAGATACTGACATAACTCTATTAGTTTCTCTATCTACTGTGGAAGAAGGAAGTAGCAGGGGAAGAACAGGTCAAAAGGAATGAAAAGTTAACTAGAAAGTTAATACATATGTTGAATTGTGTTTAACAGTAGTTAAGTAAAATTTGTAAAGGATTTCTCACTGTTGCTGATTGTGAACAACGTTGTAGCTGTGCTGTTAGCATCACATACACTTGCTTATATCAACTATTAGAGTAAATAAAACATTCTGGCTTTACTGTAGGGGATCTTCGAAGCATCCAGCCTTATAACAGAAAGTATTCCTTCTATCCTTGTTATCTTCTCCCAGAACAAAGCATCAGAGATATTGGATTAAAGGTAGAGACAGTACAACCATACATTGTTAGAAAAGCAGTTGCAGCTGTTCTCAGATCTTGCCCTTATCTTTGCCTAAGGTCACCCCTCAAAGCTGAAGACTTTCAGAAATCCAAACAGTGTAAAGCATGCATGATACAGTATAGTGACTATATTATTCCTTGAATTTTTCATTAAGTAGTTCTGGCTTCATCTATGGTTTATTAATTCAAGAACTGGTTTGGTACAGGTGTCATTGGAGAAGCTAGCATTACAGACCTAGCTTAGGTACAGGAGAACATGTATTTTCCAACTTACTATAGCAGCTGCTCGTCCAATCCCCTGTGCTGCTGCAGACAGCAGTATGATCTTCCCGTTGAGCCGACCCATACTGCTGACCTGGGTGGACAGAAGATGTCACAGAATCTTTAACAAAAAGATGAGCCACCAACACTCCCTGGGAATTGGATGCAAATGCATTCCAAAAACTAGACATGATTCAGAGTACCTCTGCCATCAAATCATATCACAGGTTGTCCCATTTGGCTGCAGTGTGACCCTGAGTCATCCAGGATTCTGGGGGGGCAGGGGGGGGGAACTGCCTCAAGTTGGTTTTGGTGTTGTGGTTTTTTTTTTTTTTTCTTTAACTACAGACCTCAAAAAGATCAAAGGGCATTTGAGCTCAAGTCAACCTTTATTATAATAGAAAATGGATGTTTGCAATCTAGTGTTTCCACCGTCCATTGTGTTCTTCAAAAGCAGGTCAGTCTTCTATTCCTCTCAAATCACAAACTCATCAAGTTCCTAGATTGCAATAAATTCCACACAATACCTTGGCCTTGGTGTCTGCTCTGAACTGTCTCAGGAATCTTCCAGTGCAGCAGGTTCCCAGCTCCAGGAGGGTGGGGGGAATGAAGCTCTGTCTTGTCTCAACTCTCAGGCCTTGCTTGCTCTCAGGGAACAACTGAGCATGCTTGGGGCAAGCAGTAGTGAACCTCTAGGAGATTCCACTTTACTCAAGGTGTAGCAGCCACAAGGCAAAACATAGCCCTCTTCTGCCCAAGCACGTGCTTTCAAGTGCTGCGTTATGTTTAAAGAAATACAGCATGTAAAAAGTAAAAACAAATGCCATCCTCTCACTCCTACGGATTCAAAAGTTTCCAGTAGGATTTTCTGTTATTTAAGGAGTAAACTACCTCAATAGGATGTTTCAAAGAACTGCCTAAAAAGTAAGGTCACTGTGTTGCAGGCAGAGCATGTGTTTGTTAACTGGGTTCCCAATAATTAAAACTTTCTGCACTTTTATAATCCACAGAGAAAAATTTGTTTATGTAGCTATGAGGGTAGAAAGGTGTCCCAAGAACCCAAAGACTTTAAATATATACATTAATTTGACATATTGAGTACTTCACTGAGGAGTTAAGATAAAGATGCCGTAATCTTTCCTAGGTTAGTAGCCAATGGCATCATCTAGAAATGCTCAAATCCATGCTGTGACTCAGATTTGAGTTGAATTTAGTGTCCTACATGTTACTTAAACCAGATTATTCATTTCTGATTTAGATCAGAAATTCTGTCTTTCTCAGCAAGTTTTCCTGACAAAAGTTACAGCAAAACTAGTGTTTCTTTGAAGATTACAGATTCAACAAAATTAGACGCCTTCTGAAGCAGTTTAACAGAAAAAAATCTTTCTGTTCTAGTATGAAAAATATCTCTTTGACTTTAAGTCAGACTGAGTTACAGACTGTGTTTTGAGACATTAAAGGTTTCATTGTCGGTTTTCCCCCCATAATTGGGACATGCATGCACACACACACAAAGAAACAAAGCACGAAGCAAAAAACCAGTCTCCTAAGCAAACAGTAACTGAGATGCGCCTTTCTAATTCGGGGAAAGCACAATACCTTAAAGTCATTTTTTAGGTTGGCTAGTAAAGAGCAGTCTCTCCAGATGCCTCTGATGGTAGGCTATATAAGGTTATACAAGAATGGGCCTGTCTTAGCATAACCTTTTTGCACTGTCAGGTGAAAAATACCAAAATAACCGAGCAGAATTAGATTGCACACACAACTAGGCTGCACTGTCTCTCTAACATACCAAGCTTTCCAAAATGCAACTCCTCAAACACAAAATCCTGGGAAAGTTCTATTAATTGTAGCAAGTCCTGAGCATCTCAACAGTAAGCTCAAAGTGCACACTCAAGGCAGAGGAAGCTCTTTCTTATTCCTTGTTGTCACAAATCTTTTCAGTGGAAAAAAACCCCAGTAAGTCCAAGTACTTCCTCAAATTACCTTAACACTTTGGAAGCAAAATGCGCTATAAATACATTTTTCAATCTAACAATCATTTTTTACAAACATTTGCCACACTGATTCTATGAAGCATTGAAAAATAAGTATTAATATAGTCACTCACCAAGAGAGCTCAAACCACTTGGTATGTTCACTGACCTTTGTACAAAAGGAAGTGTTTTTTGCTTTTTACTATTTTTGCTGTGCTTGTTGGGATTTGTAGTCTAACTGGTAAGTTTCTCTACATGAGTGTAATTTCCTGTTGAAACATTGAGACACTGCCATCTAGTGAAACTCCAGTTTTTAAGTGTAACGTTCTTCTGCACAAGAAAGGACAAAAAGGATCACCAGCATTAGTTGTCCCTAAGGAATTCAAGAAATCAACAGAATTCCCACCAAGAGAGGCCACAAACATGTTCCCAAGCAATCTCTCTTCAGCAATATAAGCCATCAAATTCCAAACTAATACAATACTTACATGACAAATTTTGTGGTTTTTTTTTTTTTTTTAAACTGGTCATTTACCAATTTATCTTTTCTTTTTTGTATCTAGTGGTTTAACTTACATTCATTAATGCAGAGTTGGTATAAACAGACAAATTAATTGAGCTGTAAGTTCACACCAGACCTAAAGCTACCCTGATAGCATTCTTTAAGAATTTGGAATCCTGCCTTAACTTCAGTTGGGCACATTTTCCCCAGAATAGCCATTTCTGTGGGTAAACTGGAACACAGAGTTCAGCAATATTAGGTTTATCTTGCCTTTCTGCTAAACTATGAGATTTCTAAAGCTTTGTAAATCAGCTCTCCAGTACACAAAATCTCTAATGACTCCATTTTCTAAAAGCATTTATCCTTCTGGCTACTGAATTCAGACACAGTTGAACCTGTTGCAATGGATTCCTGTTTTTCAGCTCAGTCACCAGAGAAATCTCCAAGTCTAGAAATGTTCCAAGCAAGCAATAATTAACAAAAAAACCCACTTGAAATTGTATATAAAAGAGGTAGATCTATATATACATACCCAGTTTCCCCCTTCTGGAAAGAAAAAGTCACTTTAATTCATTTATTAGAGCACCAAAATAGAGGGAATGAAAAAGAAGCTGGTAGCTGAAGAAAATATCTTTCAACTATAGTGGGAAATTGAAAAAACCAAACCAAACACACACACACTCCCCCAACTAGCCCTGTCCCTGCTCACTGCAGGGGGGTTGGACTAGATGACCTTTAAAGGTCCCTTCCAACCCAAACTATTCTATGATGCTATGATGGAAAACAAACCAACAAAACCTGCCACGCAAACACCAGCACTTCACACTTACCACTGTCAGGAAATAAATTGTTCCTACATACTTATGGCTGTGGTAGGAAAGGAAACATTGCAGTTCTGAACTCAGTAATGTTATTAAGAACCTGTGCATTTTTGGCTGGCAATATCTTTAAAAGCTTCCCAAAATACTTTCCAGGTCAAAGATTTAGAGATAAGTGCTCGCAATTTCTTAGTAGTTACAGTAGTTGGCAGAGTTTTCAGCTATTCTAGACAAATAGATAGTTGGTTCTTTAATAAAAGATCTCTGAATTGCCTCCATCAGGTGAATAATGCTTGTGCAGCTCTTCCAGTAACTGCTGAATGCTCACAAACATGTCAGCATAACCATTTGCTTATCAGTTTGGGTAACTCAAAATGGAATACTTAAGAGACCTACCATCACCAAGAGCCTTATTCCTATAAAATAAGGATGATGCTTTTGATGCAGGTATCTTTCTTAGGTATGACTTTCTCATCTCAGTATGATTATTTCATTCTTAATGGAGTTGATCTCAGTGCCAAAATTCCTATGTAGTTGGCAGGAGAGAGTGTGTGGGGAGGAAAGGGAGGAGGATCCATCTTTTAGACTTCAAACCTTTCCTGACAGAGGAAGATTCGGTTAGAAAGAAGAATTAAACAAAACACTGGTGACAGACTTGTGCAACAGTCAATTTCTGCACGAAGTAATTGTTGCAGAAAGTTATAGAGGACACAAACAAGAAGCGTAATAATGATGGAGCCGGTGAGATTACTATACGAGATAGTCTTTAGACAATGAATATTGTAATCAACATCCTTATTTCATAGCACAAGGGACCAGTAAAAATATTTTAAAGTATTTAACACATTAAAGTTTATTGTCAAAACAAACCTTCTTATACAAAACATACAAAAAAGTAGGTGTCTCAATGCAGATAAGCAGGCTAGTAAAATAGTCTGTGTTGCAGCCCTTGATCATCCAGTTTGTATTGCATTCACTTAGAGTAGCAGAGGTGTCAGATCCATTGCTTACTATTAAAAAAATTCCAATACCCAGCTTCAGATAGGAACTGAAAGTATATTGAAAGATGATGCAGAATACAAAGTTACTCTTGGTACCAGAATTAGCTGAGCTGCAGAAATATTGTAAGGAGTTTAAGAGGAACCCTTCATTGTGTGCCCTACAAACAGAAAATTAGCAACTTCAGTTGCAATGTCCAGATAGAGAGGTTAAAATTGTGGTGAAAATGCAGTTTCTGTGAACTCAGAGAAAGCATGGTATAAAAACCATATGCTGAAAACCAAAAAGTATTAGTTCTTCCCAACACAACAGTACTGTGAAGATACAGATACCAACCATGCAGAAGAGGGCTGTTTTAGGAATGACAGAAAAAAAAGTTTAAGATTGAGAAGTTTCACAGTAGATTAGTTTGCGATCCATTCCTGTTAACATTTTTTTCCTTTCAATGCTTTTTTTGCCATCCAAAAAACCCCCAAAGTAGAACATCATCAGATCAGCAGGTTGTGGGTAACATTACTGCTTTTCCATTTTTGTTCTTCTATTCCAGCTTTTCCAATTGTGAGAAGTAGCAACTCCAAGACAGCAATGGATTTGCAGGCCACCAGAGCTCTTCTCACAATTTGTGGAACAGGCTGATGGCTTTTGACCCGAAGCAATTATCTTTCGTATATGCAGATTCTGGCTGTAGCTGCTGCAAAAGCAGCTTACAACAGAGCACCTTCACTGGGTGGTACAATCAGGGGCTTTATCTTTTTCTGAAGTTCCAAACCAGTGCTTAAGATGTTCTTCT